GGGGAGGAGCATTGGTTATATGTTCCCCTCTATTCAATTAAATTGAATTATTTTATTAGATGGCCATGTTTATATTATGCTTTGTGGAAGGAAAGCATAATAGAAGAGCAATTGTAGCAATTGTAGCAGGAATAGGAAACTGTAGTTGAAAAAGCAATGTGAAATATTGGGGCCTGCTGTCTAAAATACCTAATGCTATATTAACAAGTTAATTGATGAAATGTTTTATCTGCCCTAATGCCCACATAAATTATATGTGACATCTTTATACTTAAAGCAAAACCAAAGGAAGCCATATAATTACTGTTTGTTTAGAGGGAAAATATTTCTGAGATTGTCATTAAAGAAATTTTTTTTTGTCCATTTCAATTTTTTTTTTTTTTGCTTGGTACTTAGAAGACTACATTTCCCAGAAATCTCCACAAGGAACTTCCCCAAAGCAAGAGGGCACCTCCACCCAAATACTCCCATCTGGAATGGTGTTAGCTAGTAAAGAATGCTTCTGAGCTTCAGGAAGCAGGTGACTGAGAAGAGAACCAGTGTTTACTTATAATGTAAATTGCATCAAATGAGGATTATAAGCAAAAAACAAAACAAAACAAAACAAAACAAATTATTTCAATAAAATCAGTAATTTTGTTTTGTTTTGGACTAATTGAGAAATATTTAATTTTTATTTTTTAGTCTCAAAAGCAATTTTTATTCCAATTCTGGATAAAAACATTCTTCCCACTGAATTCAGGAATAAAACCTGAACGAAATGCATGTAGCAGCTATATGAGGATTCTGAAAACAAAATAGTAGGCAGATTGGGGAAGGTGGCCAGAATTTGGTGTACTGTACCACTGAATTAAGGGTGAATTTACCATTTTTGTTTCCTCTAGTATCTCCTGGCCTGGTCTCAAGGCAGGCCAAAATCTGGAATTGGGAATCAACAGAGAGAACGCACCTAAAGAATTTCCCTAGTTCTGATTTGAGAATCAGGAAAGTAGACTTTTGATGCCCAGAATGACTTGGGGTGGGGGGATAATTTTTCTTTTCTTTTCTTTTCAAATCTTTTCTCCATTATCTGATAACCCAGGCCCCAGGCAATCCTGCAGTGGTGGCTGTGACAGCTGGAGCACACAGATTCCTAACACTCTGAGGGAGGAGAAACTTCTTCAATCAGAATAGCTCTGGTCCTGAGGGAGAGTGAGCCCCTGCTATGTTCTGCCTCTTTCTGTCCTCCACCACCTGGCCCCAGATGCAGGTATAATTGTGGGAAGTAGGCAGTAAAGCAGAGCAGAATAAATAAAGCTCTAAACTCCAGCTTTCTGGTGAACCTCCCAAAATATAAACCAAATAATATAATGATAATGATAAAAATAATAGTTTTCAGTTACTGCTGAAAACTAAAACAAAACAAAACAAAATCTTGAAAGCAGTCAGAGAAAAATGATGCATTAATCGTGTGGGAATAATATTTGAATAACTGTGGATTTCTCATAGAAACATGGAGGGCAGAAGAAAATAGAACAACTTTTTAAAACTGCTTAAAGAAAATAACTATAACTATCACCCAGGATTCTATACCCAGCAAAAAATCCTTCAGGAATAAAAATGAAATGAAGACATTCTCAGAATTCTTTAAAATATGTTTGACAGTTGAAAGAGCAACTGTAATATTGTCTGATAGGGTTTTTAATGTATGTCAATGTAATACATAAGACAACTATACAATATAAAGGAAGAAGTATAAAGGAACCTATATGGTATAAGGTTTCTACACTCTGTTTGAAGTAGTAAAATATTGATTCTAAGTAGTGTGTGAAAAGTTAAGTATATATCTGTAATCCCTAGAATACCCATTTAAAAATCTGTAACAAAAGATATAGTAAAAACACAATAGATAAATTAAAATGGAATTCTAAAAAAAAAGTTTAACATAGTCCAAAAGAAGGCAAGAAAGGGGAAAACAGAGGAATGAAAAATAGAGGGAACAAACAATAAACAAATATTAAAATGGTAGACCAAAAGCAAAAGATGTCAATAATTACATTAATAAACATATGAATTAAAACAGAGATTATCAGAATGGATAAAAATTACTTAATTAGATACAGTCTACAAGATAGTCACATTAAATATAATGATATAAGTAGGCTAAATGTAAAAGAGGGAAAAAGATACCCCATGCAAACACTACTCAAAGGAAAGCTGGAATAGCTATATTAATATTAGAAAAAGTAGACTTTGGAAAAAAATTACCAGGTAAAAAGGGAATCAATACACAATAAAAGAGTCACTTCACCAAGAAGATATAATTTTAAATGTATATGCATCTAATAAAACAGCTTCAAAATACATTAAGCAAAAACTGACAACTGAAAGAAGAAATTAACAGATCCACAATTACAGCCAGAGACTCAAACACTTCTTTTTCAGTAATCAGTAGAACTAATAGACAGAAAATAAGCAAGAATACAGAAGAACTGAACAATACTATCAACCAAGTAGGTCCAACTGACATTTACAGAACACTATACCTAACTACTCCAGATTATAGTTGACCCTTGAACTACATAGGTTTAAACTGTGCTCCTCAACAAAATATTAGCAAATCCACAGGAAAATATGCTCAATGTCATTATCCATCAGGAAAATCCACTCAAAACTATGAGATACCACTGCACACTCACTATGATGGCTATAATAAAAAAACAGGGACAATTAGGTTGTCAAGGATATTGAGAAATTAGAACTCTGATACCTTGCTTGTGGAAATGTAAAATGGTACAGGTACTTTGGAAAACAGCTTGTTGGCTCCTCAAAAAGTTAAACATATGACACAGCAATTCCACTCATAGGTGTATATACCCAAGAAAAATGAAAACATATATACAAAGAACTTATGCACTAATGTTGATAGCAGCATTATCCATAACAGTTAAAAGTGGAAACAACTCACATGTTCATCAAGTGATTAATGGATAAACAAATGTGGTGTATCTATAGAACAGAGTATTATTTGGCCATACAAAGGAATGAAGTATGGATACATTCTATAATGTGGATAATCCTTGAAAACATTATACCAGGTGAAAGAAGCCAGACACAAAAGGCAACATATTGTATGACTCCATTTATATAAAATGTACAGATGCAGTGGCTCATGGCTGTAATCCTAGCACTCTGGGAGGCCGAGGTGGGCGGATTGCTCGAGGTCAGGAGTTCGAAACCAACCTGAGCAAGACCCCGTCTCTACTAAAAATAGAAAGAAATTAATTGGACAACTAATATATATAGAAAAAATTAGCTGGGCATGGTGGCGCATGCCTGTAGTCTCAGCTACTTGAGAGGCTGAGGCAGAAGGATTGTTTGAGCCCAGGAGGTTGCAGTTGCTGTGAGCTAGGCTGATGCCACGGCACTCACTCTAGCCTGGGCAACAAAGAGAGACTCTGTCTTAAAAAATAAAATAAAATAAAATAAAAATGTACAGAATAGACAAATCCATAGAGACAGAAAGCAGATTAGTGGTTGCCAAGGGTTGTAGGAAGGGAGGGGAATGAGTAGTGACTGTTAGAAAGAATGTGGTTTCTTTTGGGGGTGATGAAAATGCTCTAAAATTATATAATAGTTATGGTTATATAATACTGTGAATATACTAAAAACCACCAAATTGAACACTTTAAAAGGGTAGATTTTTTTGGTATGTGAATTATGTCTCAATAAAGCTATTAAAATATACTAGCAAATCCGGCAATATATGAAAGGCATAATATACCATGACCAAGTGGGGTTCATCCTGGACATGCAAGACTGGTTAAAAATTTAAAAATCCATCAGTGTATACCACCATTTTACATCCAAAGAAGAAAAACCTCATGACCCAATCAGCTGATGCAAAGAAAAACTTGACAAAATTCAGTGCCCATTCATAATAAAAACTTTCAGCAAACTAAAAATAGAAAGGAGTGTGCTCAACATGATAAAAATTACACGTCCTATCCAAAAAAAAAAAAAAAAAAGACCTTACAAAAACAAAATAACCTGGCCAGGTGTGGTGGCTCACGCCTGTAATCCTAGCACTCTGGGAGGCCGAGGTCAGTGGATTGCTCGAGGTCAGGAGTTCAAAACCAGCCTGAGCAAGAGCGAGACCCCGTCTCTACTATAAATAGAAAGAAATTAATTGGCCAACTAATATATATAGAAAAAAATAGCCGGGCATGGTGGCGCATGCCTGTAGTCCCAGCTACTTGGGAGGCTGAGGCAACAGGATTGCTTGAGCCCAGGAGTTTGAGGTTGCTGTGAGCCAGGCTGACCCCATGGCACTCACTCTAGCCTGGGCAAAAAAGCAAGACTATGTCTCAAAAAAAAAAAAAAAACAACAATAACAACAACAAAAAAACCCCAAAATAACCCAAGTATATCAATATCATACTTAATGGTGAAAGAGTAAATCCTCTCCTCCTAAGACTGGGAACAATGCAAGAATGTCCAGTCTCCGCTGATAACAATTACGTAAAATAAATGTAAATTGGTATGTTTATAAAAATCAGGAAAGATTTGGGAGTGATTCTCCCCCTCAGAATTGTTTTAATTAGACTATATACTGTAATTAAATAAATCTATCTTATGTTAAAAAAAAAAGAATGTATAGTCTCACCACTCCTATTCAATGTCATATTGGGGCCGGGCATGGTGGCTCACACCTGTAATCCTAGCACTCTGGGAGGCTGAGGCGGAGGATCATTTGAGCTTAGGAGTTTGAGACCAGCCTGAGTAAGAGTGAGACCTCGACTCTACTAAAAATAGAAAGAAATTAATTGGCCAACTAAAAATAAATAGAAAAAATTAGCCAGGCATGGTAGTGCATGCCTATAGTCCCAGCTACTCATGAGGCTGAGGCAGGAGGATCACCTGAGCCCAGGAGTTTGAGGTTGCTGTGAGCTAGACTGATGCCATGGCACTCTAGCCTGGGCAACAGAGTGAGACTCTGTCTCAAAAAACAAAACAAAACAAAACAAAACAAAGTCACATTGGGATGTCTAGCCAGTGTAATAGGGTAAGAAAAAGACATAAAAGAACACAGATTGCAAAGGAAGAAATAAAACAGTCCTAACTTGCAGACAAGGTGATTGTCTGTATAGAAGATCCCAAGGAATCTACAAAAACAAAAACAAAATCACCTGGAACTAATGTGAGAGTTTGGCAAGGTCACAGGATGCAAAGCTAACCCATAAAAGTCAACTGTATTAATGACAAAATTATAGAGATGGGGAACAGCTTAGTGGTTTTCAGGGACTAGGGAGTAGGAGAGGGAGGGAGGTAGCTGTAGCTAACAAAGGTTAGCACAAGTGATTCTTGTGATGGAACTGTCCTGTTTCCTGACTACGGTGGTGGTTACACAAAGCTACACATGTGATAAAATTGCATAGAATTAATACACACATACACACACACAAAAACGAGTGCATATAAAACTGGTGAAATCTAAATAAAGTGGGTGGATTGTATCAGTGCCCATTTCCTTGTTGTGACCTTGTACTAAAGTTATACAAGATGTTGGTATGTAGGACGTTGGTATACAGGATCTCTGCATTATTTCTTCTATAATCATCTCAAAATAACAAGTAAACAAAAAATCAACTAGAATGCAAAATGGTACATTCTGGAAAATAATTTGGTGATTTCTTGTAAAGTGAAACATATATTACCCACATGACTCAGCAATCCCACTCCTAGATATTTACCCGAGAGAAATAAAAACTTACATTCACACAAAAACTGTACACAAAAGTATGTAGCTCTATTTATACTATAATTGGCAAAACTTAAAACAACTTAAATATCCTTCAGGGGTAACAGAATAAATAATGTGGCATATCAAGATAACAGAATACCACTCAGCAATAAAAAGGAACAAACTACTGACACATGCAAGAACTTGGATGAATCTCAAAGATATTACATGGAGTGAAAGAAGCCATTCTCAAAAAAGTTACATGCTGTATGATTCCACTTGTATGACATTCTCAAATAGACAAAATGTAGTCATGGAGAAGAATGTTTGCCAAATGTTATAATGGGGGAAAAGTGTGACTATAAAGGAATAACACAAGGGAGTTTTTCAGGGTGATGTTACTGTTTATATCCTGATCATGGAGGTGGCCACAAGAATCTATACATCTGTCAAAATTTATAGAACTGTGCACTAAAATTAAGAAGTCAATTTTTCTGCATATTAATTTAAAAAATAAAATTTTAAAAACACAATTTTGACATTTAAATCTTATAGTTAATACATTCAGAGAGGACATTTAGAATTTAGTTGTTTGTAGCATAATTACAGATACAATAGTATTTTAAAGAGTACCATAGGCTTCATTTTACAGTGTACTATGGAGCTCACAGAGAATATGAAAATTTTCTAACTCAAAATACAACTAGAAAAGAAAAAAGAAAAACTATAGTTTCATTGTCAAAAATGCTCAGTAAACATTAAGTAAAAGGACATTTATCTTAGTGATCTTTACTCAATTTGTAGCTGCAGACAATATGCTGAATAAGTGCTAATTTTTTTAACATAAGATTTAGTTTTGTTGACATATGAATGATGATTATAATAATCATTAAATAATAAATAAAATGATTAAATGACCTATAAATACACTAACAGCCACTCAGGTAATTTAAAACAAAGATAAACTTCATAACTCTTCAATTAAGATACTAGATTAAAAACCACGGCATTAGGTCAAATCAAGGATGACATACATTGCAAGCAAATAAATTGTCTGTGTAGAAACATGAAAGTATTACTCATTAATTAATCCCACAAAATTCAAGTAAATAATCCAATGTAAAATAGCCTTTAAAAAAACATCCTTGAATGTTTCTCAAAGGCATATATATAGTGTTTTTTAAATGTATCCTAAATGAGCTCTAAAGGCTCACAAATGTTATATATTCAAATCAGCTAAGTTAAAAAATCACTTAGCTATAATTATTTTTGTAAGCATATAGGCTTCTAATTCTGGCTATGATTTTTCTGAACTTACAGACAGGAAATAGGAGGTCGGCCTATCTATGAAATGGATCAGACTTTCAGCTGCTTCCACATGGTTCTGCATTACATTGAACAATCTACAGAAATTCTAGTGATGACATAAATGTGCATGTTCTGGATTTCCTTCACATTTTATGGAACATTGGTCCTATCGTAGCTATAATATCTGCATAGGGAGTGCTTTGGCTCAGCTCAATAACCTGCTGTTTTTTTAGGACAAGAAAACTATAAAATTTGGCAGCTGCTTGTTTTCGATCATTATTTCTACAGAGCTTCATCAGACTAAAGGACTGCATTCCCATCTTGTTAGATTCCTGGGAAAATTAGAAAAGAGAAGAGAAAAGGAAAACAAGATCATTTGAAGTAAAGTAGACTGTGGATACATAATGAACAACAAAATATTAACATTTTTTTATTAAATGACTATAAAATCCTTAAATGGAAAAATGCAAATGACTCTTTAGTAAACTTATAAAAAATACCCTAAGTCACTGAGCACAAGCTTGGTTCATTGAGAACATGTGTGAAAAAGAACTCCAAAGTATAATATAAATTTATAATATATTATACAAATGTTAGGTCTTTTTAAAAATGATGTTAATATAAATTGCTCCTGTGGAAAGTGTAATTATTAATAATTTAGACTTGCAGGGAGAAAAAAATCTCCAGGACTTTGGAAGGCTTCGAATGCAATGAAAATGACCAGCCTATCAGGCTTCTTCTCCTTAAAGGTACTGGGTGGGGTGGTGACCATAAACAATTCTAGTGGTAAATGTAGAAGTACATTTGTACATTTCTGCTGTAGGGAATTATGACAATGTAAACATTGCCCAGTTTATTTGCACAGATTAAAAAGATGTTGGGTTTACCATATGGCACCTGTGTACCCACTAGACATACAATAAAGCATTTAATTATGGTATTTAATTATGAATGAAGATAACTCCTTTCATGAAGAAGACTAGGACTTGGAATCAGATTCCTAGAGTAGAAGTATGGTTTCTTTAGTAAGAAATACTGTAGTATAGTGAATTCTGGCCAGTATCCCTATGAGCATCATACTCATTGAATAGTTGTGAAAGTATTTTTAGAAATATCATGTAAAAGTTTTGTAACTTTTAACACTTAACAAATTAATTCATAACGCTTAACAAATTAATAAATTAAATACTTTATTCTACTTTATCTCAACCTAAGGTATGGCTCAGGGTTAGCAACCCTTCAGAGATGGCACACCCAATCTTCATTTATTCCCTCTCTTGACATAAAAGATATGAATTGAGTGGCTTTTTCCCCTGGGAGAGAGCAGGGATGGCTTTTTCAATTTAAATAATTCTTAAAATGACAAAGGAAGGAGATAAAGACAGACAACGTGGAAGACATGACTGACTTAGCAAAGTAGAGAAAGCTAAAACCTAAGTGCTGGTAGGCAGTAAAGCCAGCAAAAAGCAAGCCAATTTGAGATACAGAACCTCAAAAAAGCTCAGGAATTAAAGACATCAATATGTCATAAACTGGGGATGGGAGGAAAAACTGAAAACAGGAGAATTCCTTGGGGGTCTACTTGGGAACAGTTAGTTCCTCTATCTACTCCACTACCTCACAGAATCAGAGACCACTACTCACATAGCAGGAGGCAAGAAGTTGCCCTTCTGAAGATACCAACCACTGAGGCCCTGGGCTTCGGATACTGGCACTATGGATGGTGGGGAAGTATCATACCACAGTGAATCTGAGATCTTGAGAATATGAAATTGTACATTCAGAATAGTGAGACTGGTTACCAGCCTCTTCTTACCTCTTTTTGGTTCCTGAACCACTGGCATCATGCTTATATTTCCCAGGCAGTGTATTTAAAGATTATTCTGGGAAAACTGGCCATTCTAAGGAAAAAAACCTTTAGATAATGACATCTGGGAGGTGCCACCCAATTAACTCATTATAAAGACCACAAGTCTGGCTGGGCGTGGTGGCTCAAGCCTGTAATCCTAGCACTCTAGGAGGCCAAGGCAGGAGGATTGTTTGAGCTCAGGAGTTCGAGACCAGCCTGAGCAAGAGCGAGATCCTGTCTCTACTAAAAATAGAATGAAATTAGCTGGACAACTAAAAATATATATAGAAAACTTAGCTGTGCATGGTGGCGCATGCCTGTAGTCCCAGCTACTTGGGAGGCTGAGGTAGAAGGATCACTAGAGCCCAGGAGTTTGAGGTTGCTGTGAGCTTGGCTGACACAATGGCACTCTATCCCAGGCAACAGAGTGAGACTGTCTCAAAAAAATAAAAAAGCAAAAACAAAGATGCATTCAAGAAAATCACTAAGGAAAGAGAATGCAGGGAGCAGAAGAAAAGTATAACCTCTGAAGTTAAGTTTTTCACTGTAACCATGAAAAATAATTTGAATGATAGTGAGAGAAAGCAGATCAGTGGTTGCTTGGAAATGGGGGAGGGAGGCCAGTGGGAAGGATGGGATGAGGGTTTCTCAAGGGGAACAAGGAAATGTTCTGGAATTTTAGATATATTCACTCTCTTGCTTGTGATGATGGTTTCACAGGTATATACATATGTCAAACTTATCTAACTGTATACTTTAAATATGTACAGTTTATTGCATGTTAATTATATCTCAACAAAGATACTTAAACAAACTAAATGCATAATTGAATCAAAAGCTTAGGATGCTATAAGATAAAAGAACAGTTAATAAGAAAAAATTCCTGGAAAACAAAAAGGTGAAAGCAGAAATAAAAATTCAATAAAGACTGAAAAAGTTGAGAAAATATCTAGAGAGGAGAAAAATACAAAGACAAATTAATATAAAGGATAAAATATTTTTTTAAAAAATTCAGGAGATCTAACATTTGACCCATGCATGGGCCCTTCCACAAGAAAGAACAGATAAACAACAAACAGAAAGTCCAAGAAAGAAAAAAAAAATTTCATAGAACTTGAGGATATAAAATGTTTTATTAAATTGTGCTCAGCACAATTAAACAAAAATCAAAACACATCATTATGAAATTTCAGAGCTCCAGGGATAAAAAAAAAAAAAGATCTAAAAGCTTCTAGAGAGAAAATAAAGGTTACCTACAAAGGATCATGAATCAAGACAGCATTTGAGTTTTCAGTAACAACACAAGGATCCTAGAAATGTTACAAAGTCTTCAACATCTGAAAGAAATATATTTTCAACCTATGTCCAGAGACAATCAATCAAGTTAAAATTTTGAAAAATCAGGCTTGGCCGGGCACGGTAGCGTGTCACACCTGTAATCCTAACTCTCTGGGAGGCTGAGGCAGGCGGATCGTTTGAGTTCAGGAGTTCGAAACCAACCTGAGCGAGACCCCGTCTCTACTAAAAATAGAAAGAAATTAATTGACCAACTAAAAATATATATACAAAAAATTAGCTGGACATAGTGGCGCATGCCTGTAGTCCCAGCTACTCAGGAGGCTGAGGCGGAAGGATTGCTTAAGCCTAGGAGTTTGAGGTTGTTGTGAGCTAGGCTGACACCATGGCACTCACTCTAGCCTGGGCAACAAAGAGAGACTCTGTCTCAAAAAAAAAAAAGAAGCCCCCCCAAAACAGAGGAACTAACATGTACAAAAAAGATACAAAGAAATTCCCATGTTTATAATAAAGGAATGTCCCAAGACAAAAACTGTGGAGTAGACCTAAAGCGCAACTAGTCTGGATTAGAATAAGAGAATGAGAACCTCCAGGAGAGATAACTTTATGAAAAAAAAAATGGAACTGATGGATCAGTTGATATTATTTCACCATACTAAAAAGGGTTCTACTATGTTGTCAGAGAATTCAGAAAAATAATTAAGGATGGGTATACAGACACTAAGCAAATAGAATATATGAGGTAATGATTAACTCAGAAAAAAACCAACAGAAAAACCACCACAAAGTTGACAAGAAAAGAAATGTAACTACACTATGAAGCTTCAATGTAAATTAATTTTTACATAGTCTTCGTGGCAGTGACTGCTAGTGCCCTTTAACATCTATTCTGCTCTTCTTCTACGGTACTAGAATTAATTAGCTGGGCCCAAGTTTACCAAATAAGGACTATATTTACTGGCTAGATGTAGCAATGTGACTAAGTACTGGTCAATGAAATGTAAAAAGCAACACACCCAATTTCTGGGTAGTACCCTTAGGGAAACTTTGCTGCTGATTAGAATACGGATATGGTGGGTAGTTTGCCATTTTAGATCATGAGAATGTGGAAAACAAGACAAAGGGAACCTGGGTGCCTGACAACTTTGTGAGCATAGCTGCCATACCAGATTGGACTTTTACCTGAGAAAGAAATAAACTTCTGCAGTAAGACACTGCATGCTGCTGAATTTAAGAAAGAAAATTTTTATAAAATTTAAAAAGTAGGCCGGGCGTGGTGGCTCACGCCTGTAATCCTAGCACTCTGGGGGGCCGAGGCGGGCGGATTGCTCGAGTTCAGGAGTTCGAAACCAGCCTGAGCAAGAGGGAGACCCCATCTCTACTATAAATAGAAAGAAATTAATTGGCCAACAAAAATATATACAAAAAATTAGCCGGGCATAGTGGCGCATGCCTGTAATCTCAGCTACTCGGGAGGCTGAGGCAGGAGAATCGCATGAGCCCAGGGGTTTGAGGTTGCTGTGAGCTAGGCTGACGCCATGGCACTCACTCTAGCCTGGGCAACAAAGCAAGACTCTGTCTCAAAAAAAAAAAAAAAAGTAAATTTAAAATTTAAGAAAAAAAATAGAAATAAACTTCTATCTTTTTTAAACCACCAATATTTTGACTCTCTGCCACAATCAAACTTGCATTATAACCTTATAATTATAACATTGTAAACACTGAATACTATGCTATAAGTATACGGGGGTCGGGAATATAACTAAGCTAAATTTTCATTTCTGTCAAAAGAAGTCAATAGATAAAATTTAAAGCTGATATATCCAGAGCAGCAAAAGCATGTTAATTAGAAATATGGATATATACTAAAAGAAATAGCTTAATATAGTTGCTCCTGGTGAGTTGGACTTAGGGATGAGGAGGGGTAGGACAAAGACCCTTTTGTCTTTCCTTTTCAGTCTTATAGCATAGTATTATTGAACTTTAAAAATTATATACATGTGTTATTTTGATAAAAATATAAATTAAAATGAAAAATTACCCAGGTTATCACTCTTGAACTGTTATACATTTAGTTTCATATTGAGAATTAGTTGATAGCCTGCTACAAACAAGAATGGGACACAGGATAGATGTCTAGGGGCATGAGTGTAGGTAAGAAGTTGATTAGAATATGCAGGCACCAAAACCAAGCTCCTATATTTGGCTTTGGATATACCACTGAAAATCATCTCACTCTAGTACAATTTGGCTTTAAAAATGTATAAGGAAAATTGTTTCATTTTCATTAATATGTAGAAGCTTGAAGTCAATATTTTACTTATTTTTGAAAATAAAAATAGGGTTGACAAAGTCTACCATCTCACCCGTAAATGATTTAACATCTGAAGTATTCTTCGATTCCATCTCTCTGCCTCAATATTTTGTTCATTCCCTGATGACTCCTGTTTCAATGATTGATAAATAAAATATTTCATTTAAGCAAATTTTACTAAATTTTTTAGTATTTGCCAAGTGTAGTAGTGTTAGCTACCACAAGAAACACAACTATACATGGGTCCTGCCAAGTAAAGAGCTTATAGTCTGATAATATAGAATAAGACTAACATGTAAACATAGATCAACCTTTGTAGGACTACACCTATATTTCTCAGGCAGCTCCAAAGTAGTACATTCTGCAGTCTTTATTTGATAATGCATCTAGGGCATTATGCCCTTACTTTGAAAAGTAAAGCTAGCAAAGACAACAACTTTTGGATAGGACTATCCTAGTTCTGATCAATCTGAACTCAGTTGACAGGATTAAATATAAAGCTATAAAAAATACTGCCCTGTAAAGGCCTTTATCTGAACTTACCTGGTGATATAGAAGCTCTAAACATTACTGGTGTTTGGTAGTTTGTATATAACTGGGTTAGAAATCTTTTAGATTTTGAGGTACCTTGTCCAAAAAAGATTAACCCATTGCTTGTCATGTTATCTAGAGACATTCTTTTCAGTACTTAAGGCTTAGCCACTTTCAAAAATAACTAAATATTTAAAAATTGTAAAGTTGAAATCCCTTTGCAAGAACTCACTGAAATCCCTTGCCAATTAATATCTTATGAGGTGAGAACAGAAATGTTATGAATCTGACAAAAGAGCAGGCCTACAAAGGGTTGGCGAAAGAGAAGTGGCACAAATATGACCTACTTTATATTTTTTCCTGGACTAGTTCTGACCATGCAACCCAACGGCATCTGTGTCACCTTTATCACATGTCTACTTTTTGTCTAGCCTTCATGTAGCTCTGGAATCCAGACATTTCCTAAAAGTGATGTCAATTTCATGGACTCCAAGGCAATTTCAGAAAGCTTTAGAATATCTTACATGACATTTTAAGTGATTTGAGGCTAAAGGCACCCTTTGGCTTAGTCCAGGAATTGCTATTTCAGCTTCCTGGGCCTGTCTATGCTGTTATCTTTTCTTAAATCCCAAAGAGATTGATTTGAAAATATGGTCACTATTCTGAAGAATTTTCCAAATCCCTCCAGCTACAATTTATGTTTCTTTCTTTCTGGTCTGTCCTTGGATAAGTGAGGTTACTCACTTACTAATGTTTATTTTATCTTTGTTAAAGATCCATGAGACTCCAGCTTCACTCATAACACACAACTAAACTAACCAGAGAAAGATTCAGAAGAAATAGTCTGTGCATTTTGCTAAAGCCTGTCCACTTGATCTATCTGGACAACCTACAGCTGAAACTATTGTGTGGAAAGCTTGGTGGATTATTAAAACAGCTGAACTTGTGCTGTGTTGTGGTTTGCTTGGCCACGTATGAAAATAACCTGTGTCTATAGAAGCAAAGAGAATGGCAAAAATGCATCAACCCACTTCTGGCTCAGCTATTTGGATGTTTCAGGTAAAAAGTTCAGGTTATTTATTCTATCCTAGATTATTCAGAGAATTCAGTCTGTTTTCCACATAAGAAAAAAATCGAACAGTCTTGGAACTCATGATAAAGATAATTTATTTAAAAACACATTAACATTAGGCATTAATAGGTGTTTTGATATTATTTACTAAAAAACTTTCTGACAAAATTCCTTTTACAATCTTAAAATTGCCTTCAGTACTTTGGGACAAGACCAGAGAAATAAGGCAGTAACACACAGGCAGTCAGGTGAGTCAGATTTTACTTTAGTTTTTGCCATTAACATGTGGCCCATTAAACAGACCACTTTCTTCTGATTTCCAGAAGTCTTGTACAGATGTAGGCTGTGAGTCACCTAACATTAAGGAAAAAATGCCCATGACTTTTTTCATAAATAAAAGTTTGAATGTCCTCCTAGGCCATATCCCTAATATAGCTCTGTTTCTCTAGAAATGTTATATGACTTAAAACAGTGATTCTCAACATTTTAAAACCTGTAACTACTTTTGATCAGCATAAAAATCTCACACTTTCCTTTTAAATTATTTGAAGTTTCAGAAGAAATTAAAGAAAGACAAAAAAATATGGAAGTCATTTTGAATGTTTTATCAAAGTATTCACAAACATCCCTGTTGAAATCACAAGTTTAAATTATAAATTCAGAAAGTAACATGACAGTTCTAAAAATCAATTCTTAAGGTGTTAAATATTTAGGAACAAAGTTTTTAAGACTATCCCCAAGACTACACATATATTTACCAATTCAACTGGACTATATTCAATTTCTTGTGCCAAGAAGGCATTCATTAAAGATGATTCCACAGCAGCTGAAGACATCATTTCAACAATATCCTGCTCAAGCAAATTAGGGAAAGATAAGTAATTCAGCTAGTGGTTATCACAGGAACAATTTAATTTTGTTAAGTGCTTTAATCACATGAATGCTCATTTCTCAAACTAATTTAAAATATTACACATATTCCCAAAATATTATTTCTGAGATAGCCCAGATAGGCAATCTTTGACTTAAACATTCCTGTTTTCCATATGGCTCCCACAAATGAGGAACTTTCCATGCCTCTTCCCTTCCTATCTTTTTCCTTCCTATTTCCCACTTCACTGCAAGCCTCACATTAAAAGTCTCTACTTCTGTGCTACTGAGATCTTTTTGCTTGGAAGCATTTTTTCTAGTCCCAGTCCCCTATCTCTATTCTCATGCCAATACCAGGTGGCAGAGTTTGAAAAAGATCCGCAATGGGCAGCCAGAGGGAGTGAGAGTGAGGGAAGGGATATTAATATCCTTCCCCAGGGCTATGATAGAGTTCCTGATACCCAGGCTGAAGCTGTCACTGGCAAAAGGGAAGAAGAAACTGTGTCTGCTGGAAGGGGAGCTAAGACATGAAGGAAGAAGGAAAAAGAGAGAGCCAGAAATTCCTCATTCCCCATCATCTCCTCCCTTTCTCATTGCTATAAAAGCTGTCAGCCCTTTTTCATCTCCAACCTATCTCTAAGCTTCATTCCATAGTGGTCATCCCTGATCTTGATTAAGAGCCTCCTCTAACACAGTTTACTTGATTTTTCACTTCAGTTCTTAAACATTTTAGTGAATATAAGGAGTTGCATTTTATTCCTTAATATACATATTTGTGCAGCCTTACGTTTTTTCTCTTTCAATCTCTATGAATATTTTGCATTTTAGATACTTTTAGTTTAGCCATTACTGTGTATAAAAATACTATTTTATAAAGATTTGAAAATTAATCAGAATTAGTATTTTCTTGTTCTTTCATACTTACTGTGCTCCCATACTTGACTATATTTCACATTTGTTCACCATTTTTGGAAGCAGAATAAGAATGGAATTGAAGGTTAAAACATAGGCGTAAAGGTTCAAAAGAACTGTTACATCAATCTTTTTTCTTCTCTCCATTTCAAGCATGTAGGAAAATCTATTTTGTTAATGTCTATTATAACTAAAGTTATATTTTCCTTCCCCCAAATCATAAACAAGTTTGCCTAAATATATTTTTCAGTAGGTGAACTTTAAGAAATGTCTGCACCTAAATGAGGACGAGAGTAGTACTGGCAATTCAGTATCTCAACACCCAGTATATTAGCAAATATTTAGTAAAACACATTCTGTCTGAATGTATTGTGAAATTGTCTTTCCTTCCAAGGGCATTTAGTTTCAGTGTGTGTTGACTTTGAATTCCCTGAGTGGTTATCAAAATACAGTGATGATAGAACAGACCAGAAAAGTACTGGTTTATTTTTATCTGATGTGACTATAATATTTACATTTGTACAACCAATAAAGTGACAACTGAGGAAATATTTTAAAGCACATTGTTTCTAACTACATTTTTAAATAACTATGTTGTTCAAGTAAAAATATAAAAAAAATTTTTGTTTTGGTTATGGATCTTTCTTTCAGTCTTTCACATTCAAGGCCAAAGTATTTGATAGGTCTAAGAATTATGCTTAGAGGTAGGAAGGGTGAATTTATGATGAGAAACAAAACATAGATATATTGGCTACTATTCTAAAAGGGTCTATGACATGTGAAATGTGGGCCTAGTAGGATTCTCAGCAAATAACCAGATTTAAATGCAATCATTCATTAAACGTGTCATGTAAAATACTATTTCACTATGAAACTACCTTATTTTGTGATTTACTATCCTAAACTTCTAGAAAATACTCTTTTGCAGATGAAATTATGTTTTACCCTGCTGTTTACTAAGAACTTATAGAAAAATTTAAGATGAAAATATGAACTATAAATATAAGAAGATATACCAGAGTTCCAACATACCTTCACTATAACTGTAAAAAATATTTTTATGATTCTCTCTGGATAACATACCTCAGAGTTAATATTTTTACTGGGATCCTCATGAGAGTTACACTTAGATACATCAAACACATCCTTACAAGTTTGGGGTTCACTTGACTCTTGCTGGAAATTTGGCTCTTCCATCATGGAGGTCTCTGAATTATCAAGAAAAAAAGATTTCACCAAAATACCTTTCAAACTTGAATTGGCATATGGTTGTTACAAAAGAAAACTTCTGACAGACAATTTGGGATCCAAGAATTTAAGCAAAGCATGCACAAACTTTCTTATGGCTCCCCAAGTCTCATATATTTATCTTTCTTTTCCCCTCCTCTGTCTCTATCACCTCCAATCCCCACCCTCTGCCAATCATCTCCTCCACCCATACTCTCACACATTCACTCACAAGAAAACACAGACAGCTCAAGCCCATCACAGTACATTTTTCAGTAGATTTTAATGCCTTCAGGAAGAGTAATCAGTAAGTAGTGGCTCATTCACAATATATATTGCTTTTAATATTACTTTATAATTATCATAATAAGAATCAGTGATTATTAATACCTCATGGACCCTCTGGGTGCATGGAAATATTTGTCTCAGGTTAATTGTATTAGGTGTCCTTATCTTTACATTTTTTCATGTTGTTTTAAGTTGAAACATTATCCTTTTAGACATGAATATTTTGTTTTTTGAGGGTTTGTGGATACTGCCTTTGGGGATGGAGGAGGTGGAAAGGAGTGAGAATAAGAATGGTCCACATAGTATATATCTTTTTAATGAAGTCTCTGGGACAAAAACTAATTTGAAAAGCAGAAAAATGTGATACTGAAGTAAAAATTTCTTTTAAGTTCAAAATACTCTTCTAGAGATACCATTTACACTTGAGAATATGTAATTGGATCCCATCTTCATTTTGAAATGTAAAATGAAATTTTTGTTCCCATAACATTCCCTTCAACATCAACAGAATTAGGAAGTCTCACCTACTATGTTTTTACTTTCCATTTCTTCCCTTACTGACTCCTTCTGTATCAATTTTCTTCCAAGTTTAAAGGCAGAGGGCAGAAAGCATTTTGTAAACAACTGTAAAAATACACATTTTTGTTTCTTGTTTTTGCACTAATAAAGCCATTCAATAAAACACAAGTACATATGCTAAAAAGTAAAAACTACAATTCACATACACACATCCAGCAAGTTAATTCAAAAGTGAGTATTTTTTCACAAGTTTAAATTATGTTGTATTCATGCATGTAAATATGCATATATTTATAACAAAACACTGCACCCTTGTAAAAGGATGAAAACTATTACCATTTTCAGTTCAGCATGAATCAAGTCCTGGGAAGCAGTTGACAGAAGTGTATCTGCTCCTCCCCTCTTTTTCCACATCATTAATCTTTGGGTAGGAGGTGCAAGTTCCAAAACCGTGAGTGTGTCCGTAAAGAAAGTAAGCTGTTTATGCATGATTTTGCTACTGATTTCCTTGACTGGATCTATGAGCAATCTCCTCTTTTTGTCTTTCCTTTTCCCAGCAATGTCTAAATATAAGAAATAGGCACAAATGCAATTGGTTATAAAGCTTTGTAAAACTTAAATATTCTACTGCATATTTAAATGTTGGCCAGGCGCGGTGGGTCATGCCTGTAATCCTAGCACTCTGGGAGGCTGAGGCGGGCGGATTGCTGGAGGTCAGGATTTCGAAACCAGCCTGAGCAAGAGCGAGACCCCGTCTCTACTAAAAATAGAAAGACATTAATTGACCAACTAAAAATATACATACAAAAAATTAGCTGGGCATGGTGGTGTATGCCTTTTAGTCCCAGCTACTTGGGAAGCTGAGGCAGTAGGATCGCTTGAGCCTAGGAGATTGAGGTTGCTGTGAGCTAGGCTGATGCCACGGCACTCACTCTAGTCCGGGCAACAAAGTGAGACTCTGTCTCAAAAAAAAAAAAAAAAAAAAAAGAAATGTCTACCACAATACAACCTACAGACTTGTATTGGGAAGAAAATCCTCCTTCTCCCTCCTCTGAAAATTATGCTTTATAAGGTTTTTGCACAGCTAGAGTACCTGAGCAGCCAATAGCTGATAGATTTTGTAAGGCATTGTTTGAAAGTGCTTAGGAGGGACTCTGTTGATCTGCTAAGTGGGCAACTGAGGAAATGTGGGGAAGAAGCTATATTGAGATGGAAGTCAACCAATTTAGGGGTTCCTTAAAATGCCTATGTAACAGGATAACTTTCTGAAACATTAATTTGTGCTTGTCCAGTATATTTTTCCCTAGCCCACTAAAATTCATATACAAATTCCAAGTAGATCCATGGGATTGCACTCCTTTAGGAATTTTTACCAGGCACAAAGCAGAAGTCAAGCTTTTCTTTAGTAAAGTTGAAAAAGGGGAAAGGGTTAGATCTCAGAATGGGTGAAGATCTAAGGTCAGATGGAGTTAGAAGGTACAGAAACCTTCTTGCTAATGTGCCTCAGTAAAATCCTGGGAACATGACAAGATCCCAGAAGGGCTGGCTATGGGATGATCCAAGAGGCTATGTAGGCTGGGGCAGTCGGTACCACACTGATGTGGCTGATGACCTGAGGTTTCCTTCCATCTTCTCCCCCACTTCCCCAAACTTTGGCACTACATGGCTCAGGGCAGATAGAAGAGCTAAGTAGACTGAATTTCTGGCCATCCCAGGGGGACAGAGGCTCAGAATTGAATTCAGAAAAGAAAAAATTTGAATGCTTTACTCCTTGCATACCTGAGTTTATAAACTGAAATTCATATCAATTATGCTACATAAAACTAGAATGTTCCTAAAAGACCTAGTTATATATTAGATTCATACTTATTTATTTCTAAAAACATGCTGAGGCTAAATGTTAGAGGGCACAGTGCCTCTCTTCTGATCCTATATTCAATTTGCAAGTTTATTTATCTTCCTGATCGGATTGTAAGATTCTTAAAAGCAGGAAACATGTCTTCATTCCTGTGTCCACCACAGAGTATTGGCTCAATATCTTCTTAAATTGAACTCAGTTTTAAATATTCCAGTTTCCTAAACTAGATATATGGTTTGAACAGGACTGAACATAATGAAAGCATGATCTCAAATTTCTTTACATGCTTCAGCTATTGTACTATAAGTTCTATTACTAGATTTACTACCTCCTATAATATTTCATAGTTTATTTAAATATCTCAAAATAAGTAAGTTAGCAGTGTATCAAAAATAAAAACAAAAACATAAATGCATCTAACCTGAGGCATCAATTGGGTCAAGGGTAAATCCTTCCTCTTCATTTGATGATAATGTTGTTTCATCCTTTTTTTCATTTTCAGGTAGACATACATACTCTGGATTATCTGGTTTTACTAATCAACATTGCCATAAAAGTAATTATTAAAAAAAGATTATGTTTCAAGCTAGAGGACTATATGAGAATTAAAATGAAAGATAAACTAACTGAAGATTTCTATTGCTAACTGGAGCCACATCTGAATTCCTAGAATTATATATTTAATAGAATCGAAGCAGCTCAGAGATTATATGGTCTGGGATCCATAGTGTTCAGGTGAGTCAAGTATTATCACTCCCTTTTGCACATGAGGCATTTAAGGCTGGGCTATAGTCATAACTGAGTTGAAAACAGTGGTGGCAACTACAGTAGATGACTGATATAAATTTGGCTATATTCTGTTAAAAAATTTGTATTCTGTTAAATCACTTTTTAGTTAACCCATAAATAACTACAACAAAATTTGTATTGCCTAACTCTTGTCACATTTTCAATTTCTACTATTGTTTTAGAAAGCAAATATAACATCAAAAATTGAGAAGAATCCAAATGGGTCTAATCACATTTTTTTAATTCTTAAGAAAATTCAGACTAAAAGACCCCAAATCATCTGAGTTACTCTGATATAAATTTCAAGTAGGGAAATTATTCCCACATTTGTAATTTCTCTCAAATTACATATAGATTATCAAACCATATTATTTAATAATTTTTTATTACCATGTACCATATATTATTTTAATGATTCAAAACCACGGTATTTTGGAAGCATATTTAAAAGTGCTCTAATACTAAACCCAATCCTGACTAAATTCTTCATTGTACCTTTCTCAGATCTCAAATTCCTATTTTAAATTGTCTAGAGTCAGACAAATAGAGTTTGAGGGACTATGTTCTTTATTGTCTTTCACTATACAATACTGCTACTTTAACTCAGAAGTTCTGAGGCTTAATTGAAATATTACTATCTGTTCACTTTCTACACAAAGGAAAATTTCAACATACCTGCTATAGTACTGGGAGGCTCAGGAGGCAGGGAAATCTCTGTGTTCAAATGCGTGTCTTCTAACAGAATATTCTCATCATCTTTCAATAGATTGTCTTAAAAAATGCAATACTTTTCGTCATAGACTTAAATCCATCATTTATTGACTAAACATTTATTAACATTACTTTATGCAAGGCCTTGTAAAGGAATAACCAGACTTTTAATGTGAACTAGAGAATTAAAAAAAAATTTGATATCAACAATCAATAATCAATCTTTAAAATATGGGCATTTGGATTGTCCAGTTTTTATATACTCTATTTCTATTATTATTTTATAATAACATCATAATATAAATATAAAATAATAATATAAAATGTTGGAAAGATCCTTTAGGATATAGTCATACCACAATTTATGTTAAAGAAAACAATGGTTTCCAGTATATAGTCTAGCATAATTTGTGAGGTATATACTAACTTCACTCCTTACCATCAAAAATTAGAAATTTGTAAAAATAAAAATAAGCAGTAGTTCACAACCTCTATGTAAAACGTGTTTAAATAGATGGCTACTTACATAGGCCTAGTCTATATGTTTAAATATGCCATAGACTTTGAAAATTTGTGTAAAAAATGTGTTGAACTAATAACACAAAAGTATATCTGAAATTTTAGATTGATGTAATAAATCTACTAACACATTATAGTAATTGGATTAAAATAAATATTTGATTTCTGAATGACCAGATAGTATACCAATTATTTCTCCTGCAGCTCCTTCATCACCAAATCCATCTCCACTGTCATAGAACAGAAATTTTTCTCCAGTAAGGCTTCCAGAACTGTGTTCAAGTAAAGGACCACTGGAATTCAATAATATGTTGTCATCAAAGAAGCTATGTCTTCTGAGAATTTCAGCTTCCTCCCCTAAATAAATATATATCATTAATACTAAGTTAGATAAAAACAGAATTTTAGGGTTAGAAGGAAATTCAGATATTATCTCCCCCATCATTTTATAGATAAAAAGAATGAAAGCTGAAAAATGTATTTGAATTATTTAACTAAAGTCAATCAGTTAGTAGAAACTGGATTTCTAGTCTAAATCTCTTTCAAATACAATAGGAAAATAAATTCTAAAACATTAGGTAGGGTTTATAGTTGAAGAATTTCCTAAGGTAGAAATATTATGGCAGTGGAATGATTTCTTCTACTTTAAGTTAAATTTTGCTTGGCCAAGAATATTTCATATTATTTTAAAGACAATTGCTTGTACTATTCATCCATAATGGGGGTTTGGAAAATAAGGAACATATCTGTCTCCTTAGGAAATGGAAAGGTAGGTAAAATATAAAGAATGGGCTTATAACATTCATTCAATAAATATTTATTGAATATGCTATGGGGTGGGGATATAGCAATAAAAAAGTTCAGTCAGCTAACATTAACTGAGTGCTTATTATATGCATTATATTGTATAACAGAAGATACTATTATAATCCTCATTGTATAGATGAGGAAACACATTCACAGAGACATTTTGTAACTTGCACACAATCACACTCTAAAAATGACAGTCGGGATCTGAATCTAGCTCTCTCTGACTCCAAAGTCTGCATTCTGATAGTCACTATGCTATACTGATAGTCACAGGGAACCAGAGTCAGCTCTTAACAAGAAGTTGGTTCTTCCTCTCCCTTGGGTTTGAATCGTCAGGTGCAGGAGTCTGAAACTTCAAAGGTTAGAGGTTGGTCTTTTCTTCCCTCCCTCTACCAACCTAAGTAAGTGTTAGACAGTAAAGAAAATCATAAAGAATTGTTCATATTGAGAATTCTTCCATACAGCTACATCTTCTAGAAAGGAAGAGTTGAAAAAAGCAACCTTCATTGCACTGGGTTTAAGACTTGCTCAACAGAAAAGATTAAGCTACTTTTCAAAAGGAACTAAGATTATGTTCACATCATCCAGGTACAGCTTGATAGCTCTCAAAAAAAAAAGTCAACCTTAGTCAACCAGATAATAACATTTATGAACAGATACTATATTCTGAGCACTGAACATAACAAGAATCTGAGGTTATACAAAAGAAATAAATCATTGCCTTCAATCTTATATTGTAATCCAGAATAGGATAGATTAATATTAAACATTTGTTAGAAGACATTAGGTTTGAGGTAGTTTTTGAAGGAGAGAAAAATTGCATATTGGTGGAGAAGACTGAAGGATGAACTAAGAAATAACCCTACGATGTTGCTAGTTGTATCCCAACTTTACAGATAGGGCAGTAAAGCTCAGAGAGGTTAGGCAATCTGCCCAATATCAGACAGTAAGTGAACAGAGAAAGTCCAGATTCAAACCCAGGTCTGTCAGTCTACCAAGTACATGTTCTTCCCACCTTTCTGAATTGTAGAAGATGACACAGAACTATGAACAACTAAATTTTATTTGTTGGATGGTAAAACATTTGCTTGATTAGAACAAAAAGTCCATGTTAATAATAAAATAAAGTTGATAAAATAAAGAAGGTGATAAATTGGTAGAGGGCCTTGAAGCTAGGCAGAGGTGTTTGATAAAGTAAGTCATAGCGATCCAAGGCACTTAAGCAGAGGAATGTGGTATGAACAAAAAGGGAATTCAAAGATTATTGCTGTTGTGGAGGTGTATAAAATGTGGGAAGAGGCAGAAATGATTTATAGGAGGGTATTGCAGTACTTCACGCCTTTGGTATTGGTGAACTATACTGGTGGCTAAGGAAATAGAAAAAAGACAGACTTCAGAATATAAAAAAAATCAGCACTGGTATGAAGTTGACAGAAAGTATAGTTGAAAGAGATCCTCAAGTTTCAGGCGCAAAGAAATGAATAGCGGTAGCATTTACAGGCAAATTTGTAGACTGTTTTGGGAATAGGGAATAAAATTATCTCTTTTCCAATGTGTTACATTTCTAGGTCTGAGGTTACAGCTAGTAAGCGATCCATCCATGCTACTCATAATATGGTCAACAGACTGGTGCTAGTCCACAAGAAAATAAATATAGAGGCCGGGTGTGGTGGCTCACGCCTATAATCCTAGCATTCTGGGAGGCCAGGGCAGGCGGATTGCTCGAGGTCAGGAGTTCGAGATCAGCCTAAGCAAGAGCGAGACCCCATCTCTACTAAAAATAGAAAGAATTAACTGGCCAAGTAAAAATATTTACAAAAAATTAGCCAGGCATGGTGGTGCATGCCTATAGTCCCAGCTACTTCAGAGGCTCAGGCAGTAGGGTCACTTGAGCCCAGGAGTTTGAGGTGGCTATGAACTAGATTGATGCCATGGCACTCTAGCCCGGGCAACAAAGTGAGACTCTGACAAAAAAAAAAAAAAAAAGAAAGAAATATAGAAATTATAAGTAAATGTTTAGAAAGTTTTATAGCAATTTGACAGTAATTTTATATATGTTGACTCTAACAACAAAAAATTGAGGCTTGTGTTTTGATTTTTAAATTTTTCAATTGTCTAGTAATTCATTTTTGCACTTTTATAAAAATACAATATACACAGATTGGAAATTGACAAAAATTATAAAACTGGTCCTTCACGACAGATTTTTTGAGAAACACTACTATAGATAGCAAGAATTATGAAAGCAGAGTGAGGATGAGAAGTTGAGATTAGAGACGTAGCTCAGGTATCACTTTCTTGATCTCCCTCCCTGATTCAAGACAGATGTAGGCCATCCTTATCCTACACTCACAATTTTGGGTTTTATAAGAAATTCAAAGATGAACATTACACAGATTCTATCCTTATGGAATTTGCAGACCAATTCAGGAAGTATATAAATATCATGATATAAGACAGAGAGTGGTAGATGCCACAAAAAGAAAAAATATTATATAGTTGAATTACATCACATGGTGTCAATTTTAAAGTACATTCACCTTGCCTAAATAAATTTTAATATTTTAAAAATAAATTTCTGTTTCACGATCAATATGTACATTTACTGTGGTAGTATTTCCTCCTCCTTGCCCCCAGGCTAATTTAAAATCTGTTATTTTACATAGATGTCATCATATACTGGAATAAATATGATATTTTGAAGGTATCTTATACAACATACATATAAAATCTTGTATATATGCTAACTATAGCAACTGTTTATTTGCATGTCTCTCTTCCAGCCCGTAGCTCCTTGAAGGTATAAACAGCTTCTTTAAATTTTGGTACCACCTATATCTATGATAACACCTGACATATAGTAGTTAATCAGTAAATGGTTATACACTGAGAATGGAAGTATAACCTAAGACAAGTCTTAGCATTGACATCTATACTAGAAAAAGAGAAGGAAATATATATTTGGGATTACATTTATAGATCAAAAGATTCATTCTATAGGTATTTCTATGGGTATTGTTTCAATATAAAAGTACAAATATAATTGGTTATAATTTATAATCTTGATTTCTCAAATATTCTCACCAAAACTCCCAGCTTGAAAAAGTAGATCATTTTCATAATTTTCTCTAAGTGTGATTTCTTCTGGTCTGCTCTGGTTCTGAGTAAAGTGTTCTGAAACATCAATAGCACTATGGAGAAATATAAGAAAACGTGAACAGAAGATAATTTTTTTGCAATATAGTGAAAAAACCTATTAATAAAACAATTTTTAGATATGCCATTCCCTAGTTGTCCTAATCTCACTAAGTGGTAACTACATTCTCATGCCAAAAATCATATAGTCATTCTTAATTTCTTTCTCTTAGAGCCATATCCAATTTATGAGCAAATCCTGTTGGCTCTGCCTTTCAAATATATCTGTAATTTGACTTCTACCACCTGGATAAGATGAAGATGGAGAACTGATCACTACATTGTCTCACCTGGACTTCTTACTGCACTAATCTTCTCATAGGCTCTCTGCTTCCTCCCTTTCCCTCTTATATAATAAGTAGCCAGAGGGAACATGTTGAAAGCAAGTCAGATCCCTTTACGCCTCTTTTCAAAACCCTTCTATGCTTCCTGAATAAAATAAAAGTTCTATTGAAGCCTACAACACCAGACCATCACCTGTACCCTCTGCTCTTCATTTCCTACCACTCAGCCCCTCATTTACTCCACTATAGTCTCACTTGCCTCCTTGCAGTTCCTTAAAAATGTCCAATGTGTTCTGTCTTAGGGCCTTTCCACTTGCTCTACCTGGAACAGTCTTCCCCCACATTACTGAATGATTTGTTCCTTCACCTTCTTCAGGTTTCTGTTCTTACCTTTTTCAGAAAAACCTTTCCTGACCATCTTATTATTTATTTCATTTTCTATTTTTCTTCGTAATGCTTATCTTCTGGCATATTGAATATTTACTTGTTTGTTGTTTGTCTACCCAACTAAAACGTAAGATCCATGAGGCAACTGTGTTTTATTCACTGCTATGTCTTCAGTGCCTAGAACAGTGCCTGGCATATGAAAGGCACTCAATGACTATGTACTGAATGAATAGATGAATATACTGTCAATACTGCAAACTACATTCAATAAATATGATACACTTTTGTTGTACTTTGGAATTTCATACTAAATTTAAGTCTTTGTCAACTGCATGTGTACTTGTTCAGTTATTAACTATATTACATTTGCCTTAATGAAATGTGAATATGAAAATAATATCAAGAAAATAAAATTGAAGGAAAATAAATAAAATAATTTACTTCATATTTTGGTTTTCAAAATCATGAAATTCTTCTGGCAATGTGATAGTATTATAAGCTGCTTCAAAATTCTCTTTTGGAAGGTCAACCAGTCCTGAAAAGAATCAAAAACTATGTTCAATAAACAATGATGCTATATAAAATAAGGAACTCCCAACTATTTTCTTTTACTGGACTACTGCTTAGTCTCTTTAACTGGTTTCCCTGTCCCCACTCCTGCCCTTCTGCAGTCCATTCTCTATAAAGCAGCCAGAGTGATATTTTTAAAAAGCTGAATCTCACGCTTAAAATGGTTTAGTGACTTCTCCAGTACATTTGAATCAAATCCAAATTTCTAATTGGGGGCTCTGTAACCCTGACAAACCTATCAGGCATCATAATGACACTCTCCTCTTTACTCATTATACTCCAACCATACTAGCCTTTTTGTTCTCTGAAAAAGTCAAGCATTTTTCCACCTCAAGACCTTTGCTCTTGCAGTTTCCTCTACCCAGAATGCTATTCCCTCAGGGACTTTTTACATGGCTGGGTACTTCTCATTTTTCAAGTCTGAGTTTAAATTCTATCCTCTCAGAAAGGCTTTTCCTGACTATCCTAACTAAAGTGAACTTCCCTGTTATTTTCTGTGGTAGTGTTCTGTTTATTTTGCTTTATAGCACAATCACAATCTACAATTATTGCAATAAGTTATAAAAACTTTTTTGTTATTTGATTTCCTTACTAGACTGAAAGAGTCTTGTTTGTCTTGTTGGTCCTTATTTGTCTTGTTAGTCCTTTTTTTTTCTTTTTCTTGAGACAGGGTCTCACTCTGTTGCTCAGCCTAGAGTACAGTGGTGTCATCACAGCTCACTGCAACCTTAAACTCCTGGGCTAAAGTGATCCTCCTGCCTCAGCCTCCCCAGTGGCTGGGACTACAGGCACATACCACCACACCCAGCTAAGTTTCAAGCTTTTGGTAGAGACAGAGTCTCACTATGTTGCCCTGTCTGGTCTCAAACCCTTCGCCTCAAGCAATCCTCCCACCTCGACCTCCCAAAGTGCTAGGATTATAGGTATGAGCCACTGTGCCCACCCTTATTTGTCCTTGTATTCCAGAGCCTAACATAGCATTTGGCACAAAGTATTGGATCAATAAACATTTGTGGAATATATAAATGAAATAATAAATGAAAAAATGAACCATACTTTCTATGAATATAAATCTACTTAGAGATTCTACAAATATTTTAAATGAAGACAAAAACACATGTCAATCCCAATACAACAAATATAGATTGAGGGAATAGTTTGTGCAAGGCACTGAGACAGGTACTATAAGAAATTCAGAAAATAATATGACAAAAACATTGCCTTCAGGAGCTTCAAGACTAGTGATAGAGGCAAGAACTGTATCTGAATAACCATAATACAAGGCAGAAGATGATGAATATCTTAAAAGGGAAATAGATGCTCTCTAAATTAAAATTTGATAGGTTTGGAATGTGTAGCTAAAAGAAAAAAAATCAAAATTTGAAGGTATTATATTCATGACATATGTAACTCTCTAGCACTTTGGAATGCCTAGGAATTTTTTATAATAGTTCATAAAGAGAATGCTATTTAGAGTCTTGAGAATTCTGAAAAAAATTACAATTATTGATAGTCACATTTGTCAATCACACTATTTCTAATTTCTCTCATAAAGGCAAAAACACATGTGACAAACTTAATGACCCATTAAAAAAACAGAGTATCAGAATTTCTTGCACAAGTGTAGTGGCTTTAAATATGTCTTACATATATATGCAGGAACATTATAAGTTTTGGGAAGTATAACCTTTTCCTGCAAACACAGGAAAAGAACAAGGAAAAAAATTTACCCTTGATCATGTAAACTTAAATTTAGTCAAAACAAAGTTTACATTCACTATACTCACCTGGAGTATATTAAAAGAGTACATACAAAATAAAAATGCAAAAGGGAACCAAGAAGAGTGAGACAAATCAACATCGGATGTATACCTGGGCGAAATGTCATCTTCATTTTAAGAAATGCTTCACTGCAATCTGCCAAAAGATATTTTGCCTTCCTGTTATAGATTCGAACAACTCCCAAAAGAAGGTGTCCTGAAGTTCGAAGTGCAATTTTCACCTTGCAATAATTTTTTAAGTATTAGAATGATAAAAATTAGGTTGATAAATCCTATTCTTTGAAAGTTACTGAAATCATAAGAATTTCTTCTTTTTGAAAAGCAGACGTTTTGTATTCTTAAGGTAAATCATTTAACTTTTACTTCACCTTGCAAAATGATTAACTTTTTTACTCTTATTCAATGAAGATAATCTAATGTGGCACTTAGGTGAAGAATGCTATTATTGGTATTATGAGAAGAATATAAACTCGGCAGTCAGGAAGACTTGGGTTTAAACCTTATCTCAGTTGCTGAGGCTGAGTCATTTAACCTTCCTAAATTTCAGTTTAATAAAAATGGCTACAATTTATTATATATGTATTTTGGGCCAGGTGTTACCCTAAGAGCTTTTTGTACATTCATTTATTTAATTTTGATAACCACTTCTATTTACAGAAGAAGAAACTGAGACTCAGATATGTTAAGTAGCATGCCCAAAGTAATACACCTATTAAGTAATGGAACAGGAATTAATTATTCATTTGACCAACTCAAAAGTTCATGCTAACGACCACAATTCACAGAGCCCAAAAAAGCCAACCTCATAGGGTTGTTGTGAAGATTAAATGATTAAGCATAAAGCCTAGCCCAGTGCTTAACACACAGTAGGCTTTCAATTATAATTCATCCTTCTCTCAGGTATTTTTTTTTGAGAGAGAGTCTGGCTCTGTTGCCCGGGCTAGAATGCTGTGGCGTGAGCCTAGCTTACAGCAACCTCAAATTCCTGGGCTCAAGCAATCTGAGTAGCTGGGACTACAGGCATGTGCCATCATACCCAGCTAATTTCTTTATATATATATATATTTTTTAGTTGTCTAGCTAATTTCTATTTTTTTAGTAGAGACAGTGTCTTCTTGCTCAGGCTGGTCTCGGTCTCAAACTCCTGACCTTGAGCTCCCATCTTGGCCTCCCAGAATACTAAAAACAGGCATGAGCCCCCATGCCCTTCTCTCAAGTATTAACAGAAAAATACCTAACCTATAAAAATGTTAAAATATTTTAATGCAAATTCTAATAGCTGTTTACAATGAACATAGTACTTTACTATTTATGACATGTTTTATATATTTTTTGATTTATAATCAATCCTCTTTCTTCTTTTCTATCTTCCTGATTAATTCATTCATTATTTTCTAAGAAATACTAAGTAACTACTATGTATACAGTATTTTGTTAAGAAATTAGAAAGGATTACAAAATATGCATAAAACATAGCCTTTATCCTTCAGGTCCAATCTATTTATGATAAATTTACAAAACAGTTAATTATCAACAGAAACCAATATATTGATGTTCACACAATAAATGCTATAGAAATTAAAAGATGATTTGAGAAGTAAAACTTCCTTGGAAATGTATTTCATGATATATTAATAAATGAATTTTGATTCCTTTCCTCTCCAGAAGTCATTGCAAATACATACTATCATTTTAATAAGTAACATACCTTAGGTGAAAGAATTTTTTCAATGGTTATCTCTAGATTACATTCAAATACATGGGCCTTTTTAAGTTTCTTCTCCCAGTGAGCTGCAAGCCATATTTTAGCCAGTGGCCCTCGTTTACTCATAAGCACATGTGTATAGAACATGTTGTTTGTATTCATTAGTTGTATCTAATGAACTAGAGAGAATAAGATGACATTTAAAATCTGATTACAAAACTTTCTAGTGCTATTTTACAGCAAGCAAAAACACTTTTTAATTCTATAAAATAATATTCAGATTACATCCTCTTCAATGCATTATTCAAGTTATAATAAGAGAAACTTATTTAGAATATAAAATTATAAACTAATGACAGAGCTCTATATATTGTGAACCAAACCTGGTTTAAATGTATCCTGATTAATGACCTCTTCTTACATTTTAGTTATTAATATTTTATTGTACAAAGGATTTGAATTCTCTTCTTACCAATATAATCAAGTAAATAAAGGAGGAAGGTTGAAAAAATAGGTGATGGAAATAGGAAAGAAACAAGAATAGGAAAAGGTGGACAAAACTATGAAAAGCTAATATAGGTCATTTCTCTTCTGAAACTTAAGAATTTGAGAAGTGTTGGATCATTGATTTATATCCAGATGTTTAATTTCATTTCTCTCTTCAAGATGCTCTGGTTTATTCGACAATATATTAATTCCTGAAGTTAAAATAATGAGATTCCAAAGGACCGTAAGTGGAAAAACGAAGAAAACAAGAAACTATAGGAAAAGAATCAGAAAAAGGCAAGGAAGAAAACAAGAATCAAATGTAAATGTTTTGAAACAAGAATGGTAAAAGAATCTTCACTTAAATAATTAATGCACATTTCTACAAATTATGCTATTCTTAACAGCACCGTAAGGCTCTATTATTAAGCCCCACATGAGAAGGAATGTTATAGCACTTTGGTTCACTTTTAGAAAAGAATCAAGTTATTGCTTACATATAAGTAATCTTAAACTGCCACTATGGAAGCCTCTTTTTCTTCTCTTCTACCTAAAGGTCTGGCAAAAGAGAAGATGGAGCCAAAATGAACACAAAAACAAAGTCAACCACAGGCTTTAAAACTTCGGTGAATTCTGATCAATGCCTGTTTCCACCACAAGAAGAAAATCATTATGCCCAAACTAAAGGTTATGCAATCTGCCAAACCGCGTTCCTCGGGGGACAACCAGAGGTTTTAATATCTGTGGCTCGTACATTTATGGTGTGTCGGGCGGGGGAGGGGGAGGAGGGGATGGGTATATACAAACGTTATGAGTGAGATGTGCAACGTCTGGGGGATGGACACGCTTGAAGCTCTGACTCGAGGGGGGAGGGGGGCATGGGCAATATACATAACCCTAACATTTGTACCCCCACAATATGCTGAAATAAAAAAAAACAAAAAACCGTGCCTTGCCTCGGTTCCACTTTCTTCCTTTCTATTCTGCGTGTGTTTTGGTAGCTTTGAATAAAGGCCAATTTATCTTTTTAAATCGCTCCCAGTGGTGTGAGGCACTAATTTTTAAAGTAATGGGCTTAAAAAAAACACAACCCCCCAAACAAACCCCTGTGACTGATTTAACATTCCTGAGATATTGATTTTCCCGAGCACATATTACCTACCCCCTCCCCGAACCCACCCCCATAAGGGACCCAGGAGGTCCGGGGGAGCATTTCTGGAAGGGGCGGAACGCGGCCGGGCGGGGCGGGGGCGAGGCCCTCCCGGAGAGCCACCGCGGGCGAGGGTCGGAAAACCGAAGGTGCCGGCGACGTCCAGGGCTGAGAGGAGCTGCCCACGGCCGTCAGGGGCAGGGGTTCAGGGGCCCCTCCTCGCGCGACTCCTCAGTCTCCGGCCAGAAGCTCGCAGAGGGAACCCTGAGGCCAGAGGGGAGACCGCGAGCGCCCGTTTCCTCCCACGAGCGGGCGAGGACACCGCAGGTCGCGCCTCAGCCCCTGGAGGGCTGCGGGCGGCGGCGTTTCTCCCTCAGGCCCGGCCCTCAGCACTCGGCGCCGCGAGCTGAGGGGCCGGTGAGGCGCCTAGCTGGGGCGCCTGTGGAGATGTGGGCTGCCGCGGCCCCCATCACCCAGCCCGCCTACAGCCCTCGGGGCCCGCCCCGCCTCTCCGGCTGCGTGCGCCCTACTTGCAGCGCCGAGTCTGAGGCGAGGTGCGCCCGAGCTGGGCAGTGAGGAGTCGCCGGGTCCGCGCGTCAGGTTCTAAGCGCTCGACTCCAGCGCCGCGGGGCGTCAGCGACGCGCAGCTGGGCAGGGGCGGGGCGTGTAGAGGGCTGGGCGTGGAGGGGCGGGGCAGGGGCGAGGCAATGAGCGAGGGGCGGGGCGTGAAGGGGGCGAGGCAGTGAACGAGGGGCGGGGCGTGAAGGGGGCGAGGCAGTGAACGAGGGGCGGGGCGTGAAGGGGCCGGGCAGTGGCGAGGGTGGGGCGGACATAAGACCGCGAGGGAGAAGGGACAGGGGGCGGGGCAGTAAGCAAGGGGCGGGGCAGACAGAAGGCGGGGTCAGGAGATGGGGCCGGGACCGCGGGACCCCGCGCAGTCTCTGGCGCTGTGCTAAGGCTCAGACTTCCTACATCAGCTGTGCAGGGGTATGACGGGGACGGCGCCTATAGTGCCATTGTGAAAGGTGATCTTTCTGCCCCATCTATAAACATCCCTATGATGCAGTCCTGTCTGTTCCACTTACTAGCTAGGGATCCCTGGGGAAGTTATTTAATCCCTTGAACCTCAGTTTTTCTTATCTGTAAAGTGCAAATGATATTAATAGAAGTACCTGCACCACAGGCTATTATAACAAATAAATGAGCTGGGTGCGGTGGCCAACGCAGGCAATCCCTGCACTTGGGGAGACCCAATACAGGAGGATAGTTTGAACCCAGGAGTTTGAGGTTGCAGTGAGCTGTGATGATGCCACTGCACTCTAGCCCATGGGACAGAGTGAGACTCTATCTCAAAAAAAAAGGCCGGGTGCGGTGGCTCACGCCTGTAATTCTAGCACTCTGGGAGGCTGAGGCAGCAGGATTGCTTGAGCCTAGGAGTTTGAGGTTGCTGTGAGCTAGGCTGACACCATGGCACTCACTCTAGCTTGGACAACAAAGTGAGACTCTGTCTCAAAAAAAAAAGAAAAAGAAAAAGAAATAAATGAGATGAAATATGTAAAGACCTAGCACATTATAAGTGCTCAATAAATATTTAAATATTAACTATTATCATTGTTATTATTAAAAAGATCATTCACATTGATTGACCTGCCCTTTGGGGACAGCAAACGTTTTCCAGCCTGGAGCATGACAGCTTTCCATAGCTAAAGCCAATTGCTAGAACTCGAAAAAACTCATGCAAGAGCCCAAGGATCTGAGGCTGGTTTCTTCTCTTGAGCTTCATAGTAAATACTTATAAATCTTGGAACAGCAGTGGCAGCCAATATAAGGTTATTGATAAAGTCCAGGCTCCTTGCTGGGTATTTTCATAGGTTGTCTCATTTACTTTGTAAACAAAGTAGTTCACAAGGTAGTTGTTAGTTTTCACCCTTTTGTGACAAAGAAATGGCCACAGAAAAAACCAGCAACCTGTCCAGGGTCACATAGAGACAGGATTCAAACTCAGGTTTAGCTACCATTTTCCCCCCTCGGGGAATGGCAGCACAGTAACCACTCATGCAGATGTCTGGGAGACACCCTTGTTGCCACCCTCTCGTCTACCTTAATGCCAATCCATCAGCAAGGCCGTCACTCCAACTTCAAATATGACTTTAATTTATCCTTTCTCATCATCTCCACCCAATCCACCCTAGTCTAAGCCACCTCTCTCCTGGAAAAGCTCCAATAGCCTGCTTAGCAGTCTCCCTTCTGTCACTTTCCACCCTTAAAGCCCATTCTCCTCAAACTGGAGGGATCTTTGAGAAACACAGATAAAATCCTATTACCTCCTAACCTCCCCTTTTAAAGCTTTTTAAGTTTTCCTATTGCTCTTAGAATAAAACTCAAACTTCCTCCTAACCACTACAAGGCCCCGTCTGATTTCCCCTTACTAACTATTCTGGCTTCATTTCATATGGGTGGATTTACCTTAACAATAATGAATCTTCAGTTTCAGGGTCCTGGCTTCCATGAGAGAAGCATGGCAATTTGTTCACAGGGGCTATGTTTTTGTAAACTTTGCAGAAATAAGATATTTAACTGTAATCCTTTAAGATCCATGTCTCTTCCCAACTCTCCCTCTGTCACACTATGTTGGTGGCAATGGAGTACCTGAAGGATGCATCTAGGGCAGAGTTGAGTTAGATGTACATTTAATTTAGGTCCAGAGGGATCTATTCACGTCATCCACAGTCACTTCAAACCTATAGTTACGTCATTGTTATCTCAGTTAGGAATGGCTTCCAGGAACACACCCACTGCCCACCGTGCCGCCTCACTCTGTGCTGTGACATGAAGGTTTAGGGCCATAAACTGTGTTAGTGCCCAGCATCAGGAGTGTATACACAATAGATAAGAAACAAGATTTGAAACATACAGAGCCAGAAGCAAGTCTATGGAAAATTCTTCGAATCATCAAGCATATCTATTAATAACTATAAGCCAAGGATTGGTTCTCATCAAAGCCCAGTTAAAGCAGAAGTTCTTTCCTTTGAGAATTCTATCTGGCAACGCAGCATATATACTTATAAATGCACTGTACACTTTTTCTTTTTCTTTTTTTGATAGGCATTTCTCAAAGTAGAAGATGTCAGAGTCTTGTGTTTGTACAACACACGTGGTGGTACTGTAAACAGTACCATCCATGTGGGTAGTTGCCTGTTCTGTGATCTCATTGCATTGGCTCGTGTCTTCCTTAGCATATCTACCTAAGCGTGTCCAGTGCTTACAAATGAAATGGCCTCTAGATCAAAGCAAAAGTAGTGATTCATTAAGAGGAATAGACACATTTCAAGTCAAAGTAATAAATAGAGTCAGATCATTTGATAATCTAATTAAGAGGAATGGATCATGTAAATATATTGGGAAAGATTTAAATTTCTTGATTATTTGACATGAAATACTGACATAGAAGGAGAAAATATAGAACTCATAATATACCACTACAATAGGGGCATCAACAAAAAAGTAGCTAATGTGCTGTCAACTCAAAGAATATTTAAAATGAGTCACTATACAAGAAGATTTACAGTTCATATATGAAAGAAACATAGGGGTTTCCCCAAATTTGACAATAATCCTAAAAACATGCATAGCATTAAGCTTTGCAACTTAAAGAGAATTGTTTAAAATATCCACACAAAAAAGTTAATCCTGTAGAGGAAAGACCGAATTATTTCCACAGTCTCTTTATAGAAAATAATACAACTAAATCATTGTCTTATGACTAGATGATCAAAGAATATACAGCCAAAAATACAGAAAGAAATTATTATAGAGCCATATCATGCAGTTAATTAATAAAAATATTATGCCATGTTTCTAGATTTCATGATGTTTGTGATACTTGTCAGGCTTTAAAAATTTGTAATTTATTATTTCTTCTCTCATTCTAAAAAAATTCTCTTTTTAGCCTAATTTGTGATTTTGTGTTCTTTCTCTTAAAGAATGCCCTAAATTGCATAAGCTTCAGGCCCCACAAACCTGGATCTGCCCCTGCTCAGTACCCTTCTTGATCCTTGTGCTCCAGCCATATTGGATACCCTCTGTGCCCGTGGCTTAGGAAAGTGCCTGGCCCATAGTAGTATCAGAGACATATTTGTGAATGAATGAATGACTCAAAAATGGGAATGCTAGAAGGTTAACTACATGAAAACATGAATTTTGTCTGTTTTATTTGTTGCTACATTCCCACATCCAGAACAGCGCCCTGGCACACAGCAGGTGCATATTAAGTACTTTTTGAATCCTGGCCTGTTCCACTGCAAACAATTCTTCTTTCCACTGCCCCCAGTTATTACCAGATTACAAAGCACTTTCCCAACATCCTCTCCACAGCCCTGGCAGGTGTCATTTTCATATTAGAGTTAAAGCTAAATGGAGGATCAGAGGAAGAAAAGTGACTCGCCCCAGGTCACCCAGTCAGTGGCAGAGCTAACGTTCGAACCCAGTTCTCTGGAGCCAGAAAGCCTCATTCTCCACCGCTCTCCCGAGAAGTTGCCTGCCCTGCAATAGGAACGCAGATGCTGCAGGAGCCAGTTCTACAAGCCAGAGCGGACGCGTTCCCAGAAGAATTACTCCATCTGGACGCTAGGTGGCGCACATGCACAGAGCAGTACCGAGCAGTTACTATAGTGACCGCACAGGGTCAAGAACGCAAAACATTTGTCAGAAGCCTAACTTTGGACCTCCAGTTTCATTTTTTCTCACCTGTCCTGCGTTTGCTTCCTTGGTCATTTGGGTCTCAGTTTTCTCCTCCGTCAAATGGAAACACTAACTCGTACTTACTAGTCAATATGTTATGATGCCTGTGCGTAGGTGTTCAACAAACGAGTTCTTCTGATAGGGACCAAGGCACTCGGCAGAGATGTGAAATTTTTCTTATTCCTGAGCACTGGCCAGAGAATGACTTCCAGGAGGAATGAGAGGAAAATTTCCTGTCGATGGTCACCTACTGTGGTAGGTTGGAAAATGGCTCCCACACCCTAATCCCTGGAACCTGTGAATGTTACCTTATATGGAAAAAGGAGGGGTCTTTGCAGGTATGATCAAATCAAGAATATTACATGGGAGGTTATGCTGGATTATCTGGGTGAGCCCTAAATGCAATCACGTGAATCCTTATAAGAGGTAGACAGAGGGAGATTTTACACATGCACAGGCAGAGGTTGGAGTGATGTAGCCCCGAGTCAAGAAATGCCAGCAGCCACCTGAAACTGGAAGAATCAAAGAGGAAATTCTCCCTGAGAGGCTCCCAAGGGAGTACAGCCTGGCCAACACCTTGAATTTGGCCCGGTGAAACTGACTTCCGCCCAGTGAAACATGAGCTGAACTCAGGCCTCGAGAGGGTTTGGGCAAAACAAGGCAGGGTGGCAGAGACAGGACAGAAATCCCACCGATAACAGGGGCTCAAGATATCTGGAGAGCTGGGAAGGGGACACCAGATTCTGGGTTGGCTTACTAACCTAAGTGATGCCAGAGGTGTTGTCCTAGAGCAGAGGTGGGGAACCTGTGGCTTTCTAGATCCTTAAAGTGCAGCCTTTTGACTGAATCCAAATTTTACAGACCAAATCCTTTTATTTTTATTAATACAGTTTTGTTCATCTTTTATATTTTTATTTTATCTTTAAAATGAACGTATTTAAAATACCAAAGAATAAAATAAATTTCAGCGAAATAATCCTCTCAGATTGACCGGCACAATTAGAACATTAATAAGCCATAAAGGCTAAATTGACAGCTGCTATACTCATGATTTAGTTCTAACATTTCCCCCTGACTGGTCCCACTACCACACGAGTCTGGTTGGTGAGAGTGTATGAGGGTCAAGTCCTCCAGTCCGTTATCAGCTTTTGACAACCATGCACTGTGCTTCTGTTTGAAGTGGAATTTGGGAATAGCTGCACAGATCAACAGTATTTTTTAATTCTGTCTGTTTAACAGCTCATCATGTCAAAGAAGACCAAGAGCTGAAGGAAGAAAATAGATTTTTTTAAAAATGAGGATTGGGAATTGCAATATTATTTTTACTCTGTGTGGCCAGGAAGATGTCTCTGTAGACGATGATAGCTAACAAGCTTGTAGACTTGTAATAGTTGCAGTTTCACAACTCAGTGTATAATCACCAAGCAATAATAACAAGCTGCCATTTATTGCCCTTTCCAGGGCCAAGTACTGTGCAAGGTGATGTAAATGCATTGTCCGGTTTAATCTGCACAATAATCCTGTGAGTAGGTTATTACCTCCTTTTTAACAGATGAGGTAACTGAGGATCAGAGAGGCTGAATAACTTATCTAAGATCAAAAAGTAAATAAATGGCGGTGCTGGAATTAACACTCCAGTTACCAACCATGTTTGTAATCAGGATCATGCAAGCTAAGATCACAATCAAATACCACTTTGCACCCATGATATTGGCAAAAATTAAGAAGATTGAGCGGATTACTTAAGTTCAGGAGTTCAAAACCAGCCCGAGCAAGAGTGAGACCCCATCTCTACTATAAATAGAAAGAAATTCATTGGCCAACTAATATATACAGAAAAAAATTAGCCGGGCATGGTGGCGCATGCCTGTAGTCCCAGCTACTCGGGAGGCTGAGGCAGTAGGATCACTTGAGCCCAGGAGTTTGAGGTTGCTGTGAGCTAGGCTGACGCCACGCCACTCACTCTAGCCTGGGCAATAAAGTGAGACTCTGCCTCAAAAAAAAAAAAAAGATTGAGAATACCAAATGTTAGGAAGAAGATGTGGATCAACAGGAACTCTCATACACTGCTTGTGGGAGTGTAAATGGACCCACTTTGGAAAACATGTTTCTTGTAAATGTAAGAGTTCCCATACCTTCAGTGCAACTCTTAGATACATATTCTAAAGAAACTCTTGGATTTGTGCCTGTGCACCAACTGGGAAACGTGAAGAATAGCTACAGTGGCATTGGTAATAACAGCAAAAAACTGTCAATCCAGGGCAGGTAGGAGACAGAAACCACACCAGGTATTTTAACACAGAGAATTTAATATGAAGAATTGTTAACTAAGTATAAAGTTGTTAACTAGGTTACTGAAAAGTGATAAAAAGAACTCTAAGATAGCAATTGCAGGAAGTGTCTACCACACCAGGTCTGAGGGAACAAAGAAAAGAGGCCGAAACAACTTTAAAACTTAGAGGAGGAGCCCTGTGGAGCTTAATTCAGGTTAAAACTTTAAAACTTAGAGGAGGAGCCCTGTGGAGCTTAATTCAGATATCTGAGAAGGGAGCTGTGCTTAGCTAGGTCTGGTGTCTCTGAGCTCAGAAAAGGGCCAGGTATGTAGGGAAGGGACTCAGACTTCAGAGGAGGAGGTACTGGCATTTGGCGCTTGTGTCTCTGAGTTCAGGGGAGGGGCCCCATGGGGCTGGGACCCAGACCCTGAAGAAGGATGGAGCCCCAGGAAGGAGTTGCAACTGTGCAGTAAGGAACCATTGCTGGGTGACAATCATAGGAACAGGAAGTCCACAGGACATGACAGGGAACAGAGAAGAAGGAGCAAGTCCCTTCTCTATTCTCTAGCCTTGTCATCTAACCCCATCCTGCTTTCTGTCAAAATCTAACAAAGTCTAACCAGGCAGCAGCTGGTAACACAGAAATGTGATTTGCAGGGACCCAGCCCCAACCTCACAGAGCAGGAATTTTTTTATATTATCAAATATTATATAAAAATCCCAGGTTGGTCTGACTATAAACATTGTACTTATAATGCACCCCCTCCACTCTGCCTCTGTTCACAATGGATTTACTTTTTCAAAGCCATGAAAACAATATATATATATATATTCTCAAAATATATATATATTTTTTGAGACAGGATCTTGCTTTGTCACCTGGGCTAGAGTGCTGTGGCATCATCATAGCTCACTGCAACTTTAAACTCCTGACCTCAAGCAATCATCCTGCCTCAGCCTCTGAAAGTGCTAGGATTACAGGCACGAGCCACTATTCTAACAATATGCAGGTAGATTTTCAAAAACAAACAAGGCCTACCAATAACTGGACCATCTAAACACCACCACTTTTTTATTTTCACCTTTCTTTAGTTTTTTTATGGGCAGATGTAATTTTTCAGTCATGTCTGCAGCACCCTGTTACCATTGAGAGTCTCTGCTGCCTCCTGAGCCTTCCTGCCTGCTGTTACTGACAGGCAACAAAGGTTTGTTGTCACAAACCCTGAATGAATGAAATGCCATTTTCTTAATGATTTCCTCTTCTTTGATTCTTTGAACATCTGGATTGTATTCCTCATGACCATTTTGGTTGCAAATGAGGGAAACCCTACTCAAATCAGCTTAAACAAAACAAATTGGTGCGTGTGGCTGTGGGTGGTGGTTGTAGAATTTACTGGCTTCAGTTGCTGCAAAGAACACAGGGGTAACTAGCAAAACTAGAGCCTAAAATCACAGACTTAAAAAAGCTGGCGCTCTTCCTCTCTGTCCATCTCTTGTGTGGCCCTCTCTCTACTTCTGTGCGAATATTAGCCTCTTTCCTTGCTACTGCAGACAGGTCTTCTTCACTTGGCAGGAAACATGGCTGATGGCAGCCTCAGCTTTATAACTGTAATAGAAAGAGTGTCCAGATAGCAATCACAGGGAAGGACTGTGATTGGCTCTGTTGAGTCACATGCCTCCCCACTGGGCCAATCATGCTTTTGGGGCAACCACAGGTTATATAATTGGCCAGGCCTGGTAATATACCCACTCCCATGGCCAGCGTGGCAATAGATCCTGTTGTTATCAGATAAGGGGAAGGGGGAGGCTTGCTGGGAAGACAAGAGAACAGCCACAAAGTCACTACACAGGGTCTCAATTTTTCACCATGGCAACACCTGGTAACCATTACTGCACATTTAGCTCTTTCTTTGTTTTAACAATCACCTTTTAAGAATTTCCCAAGATTAGGATTGCTGCCATGGTGCTTGCCAGAGCCACATAACACGTTTGTGTTTTCAAAGTGTGTTCACATCCAATTTGTGCCTCACAAAGAAACCCTGAAGGACAGAAAAGGAACCAGCGACACAGAGAAGCTGAGTGATGGATCCAGGGACACACAGCAGATGAGGGCAGAGGTGAACCCAGAGCTCTGGCTTCCTGGTGCTCTCCCCCGAAAACATCACAAAGGTTAGACTAGTGGTAAGAGGGTTTGAGCCCAGGGTCACCTGTGGCCAGTTAAGGGAGGGAGCTTCGTCTGCTATCTTCCCCTTGGAGGAGCTGGGCCAGCCCCCTTGAGGAAACGTGCCGGCAGCCCCTGCCTTCAGAGCCCGCTCGAGCCCTGATGGGGGAGGTCCCTCCGCTGGACCTGGCATCCTCCCAGTGGGCATTGTCAGCGCGCAGCTCCTGCAGGACGCTGTGAAGATGCCTCAGTGTGAGCAGGAGCCTCTGGTCTTGGATCTGCATCTCAGACTAGGAGAGAAGAGGAGTCCGTGAGAGGGTGTGCAAAGCACTGATGTCCCCCGTAGAGCCCTTTCCCACCACAGTCTCCTCGCAGACAAGCCCACTTGTGAGTCGCACGAACTTGCAGGAGCCATATCCGCCAAAGCCTCTGCTTCTCTGCAAAGTGGAAAGCAAATTGCTTGCCTTGCAAGCATTTTATCATGGCTGGATGAATTAGTCCACTGGAAAGCACTTTCAGGGGGTCAGCATGGTTCAAAACTGCTTTCATTACAATACTAAGATATTATTTTCTTTTTTAACTTCCATTTTCTTATGAGCATACAGTGGAGTTTTCCAGAAGTTAATGGCATGTAATATCTCAACAGATTGAGCGCAGAAGCGGATATGAGAATCCAGCTGTGTTCTATTAAGCCAGACTGAAAGCAATTTGCAACAATGTAAAACAGAGCTGCTCTTCTCACTAAATATTTGCTTTGAAAAATATAGTTATTTTAGATAAGTAATATTGTATTAACATGTAATGAGTTTATTATATTTTTAAATGCACTCGTAATATAATGCTAAGAATTTCTCAGCTTTGGTTTCTAATTCAGTCCGTAGTGATAGATATAACTCACAGAGACAAAAGCTTTTTGGTGTTCTTAATGAAAATGTTTGAGAATCACTACATTACAACTCTACTATTGTCACTCAGCCATCTGCACCCTTTCTCCCATTTTCCCCTAGGAATTTTTTTCCATACATTTTCTTTCCTCAGAAATTGTTCAGTCTGTGTTTTCTCAATTTTGGGGTCTCCCCCCCCACATCCTTTTGTCCAACCTTCGGCACCAGCTCTGGGTATGCACTTCTGAGGCCACAGAGGCATGACCAGCGCTGGGGCGATGTTAAGGGACGGGGTGGACACAACGCCTTTGGCCTTGAGGATAGGAAACCCTGACCAAGCTGCTTCAACAGTAGGGAAGTGTCTTTTCTCACAAACCAAGAGGCCCCAGGTGAGGCAGCTCTGTCCCACCTAACGGATGCCCACAGGCTGGTTTGCCTTGTTGTGACAGGTGGCTGCAGCTCGTTCCCCTCGCCAGGACTCTGGGGCTCATGAGATACAAGGAAAGGAGGAAGAGCACCAGACTTCTGCCCAGGGTAGTCACTGGCCTTCCTGAGTTGTCCCCGCTGCTGCGGGAGATGACTGTCCCCGGCTGGTCCTTTCCTGAGGATGGCCGAGTGAGGCTTTTTGGGTGGGTTCCAGAAGGGCTCGTACGGAATCGTCACTCTGTGCGATCGGGGTTAAAAACAAGCATGACTGGGAAGTTTATGAGTCACACTCTGCAGGAGGAGGCTCCAGGCTGGGCACCTTTTGGTGTCAGGGAGAGGGAGGTGCTTGGGCCGGGAGGCTGTGTTGCAGGCAGGACCCCGCCTGGCCCTCCCCCTTCATGGCTGAGAGAGAGGCACTTCCTCAGCTGGAAATACACGTTCTGGCTTCAGTTTCGGTGCCCACTATGTAGGGGAGCACGAGGAGTGCCAGCTGCCCCGCTCTGGATGCCTGCGACTGTGAGAAGCTTCAGCTCCTGCTGCTGGAATCCCCTGGTCCCATGAGAAGCCCTGTTGGGTCAGCCCCTCCCTCTGGGGTGAAGACAGGGTTGGGTCCCAGTTGGCTTGTTGCCTGGCAACCCAGAAAGTTCATTTTTGGACAATCCCGTCTCTCTGCAGAATGAGAAGTGGGCATATTGGGAAACAGACCTTCTGAGGTTCCCTGAACTGCCCCCCTCTCTCTCTTGGCTCGTGTCCCCACGCACTTTGGGGCACCCCTCTATTTTTGGACTTGTAGAAAACATCACAATGAAAGGCACAGGTCCTAGGTTCCTGAACAGCCACTAGGGGACCAGGTAACATAACACATATGTTCAGGAAAGTCAGTGCCTGTGGGGTAGACCTTTACCAGTAGGAATGCAGAGACAGCAGCCAGCTGGGCAAATAGATGTCCTCTTTGCTCTCTCCCCACCAAGGTGCAATTCCTCCTTCACCCCTTGCAGAAAAGTCCTCTAGCAGGTAAAGCAGCTGCTGAGAGACCTTCTGCGGCGGTGGCCAGCTGGGTAGCACAACGCCCGGCATCGTTTTCTGGCGTAGCATTGGTCTTTGCTGCAACTCCCCATTTCCCTCCCTCCAACACTCTGGGCTCGTACCTCCAAATAAATTCTTAGTCTCTCAATCCTTGGCTAAGACTGTGGGTGTACTCCACGTCCACCTGTGTCAGGATTACAATAGTCAACATCAATGTGCTACGCATACACTAAGTGAATTCAAGCATCTCCTCACCGAATCCTTGCAATAAGCCCTACGGTGTTGGCACTATTGTTATGCCCATCTTATGAGAAGGACACTGAGGCTCAAAGAGATAAAGCTGCCCGCTGGAGGCCACACAGCAGCAAGGCTGGGCACAAACCCAGGACTCAGTGCAATTGTAAACCCAGTCTGGCGAGCACCACACCGAGCGCCTACTATGTAGGCCACGACCTACTTATCCCCACACCTAAGATCACAATTGTGCTCTGTGTGGCTGGTCCCAGAGGGGAGATTGCAGGGCCCATACCCCAGCCTGGAGGGCACCTGGAAGAGGAGACCAGAGATCCTTGCAAAATACATGGTGGGGACATTAAGGAAATGGAAACACAAAGCCTTACCAGCTCCTTTCTCAGCCACGCCAGGGTCTGCCCAAGATTTGGAGTTGGCTCTTCTGCTGTTTTCATCTCAGTGTCCTTGGGAGCAACCTTGACGCTGACCTGGTTATGGGCCCGAGGGATCTTTGACTTGTAGAGCCCCCGACCTCCTTCACACTGGCAGCAGGTTCTGGCCAAGTCACTGAAGATGGAGTTAATGAGAGCAGGAAGTAGCTCACGGTGGAAAATGTCATTTGGCTCTTTTTTTTTTTTTTAAAGGGCTTTAGTGCTCTGAACAGAACCAGGCAGGAGGGAGGCAGAACATTAAGGGTCTGGGTACCCTAGTGCCTGATGGTTCCAGAAGCCAAGAAGATGTGATGCCAACAGGATCATAGAGACCGTAAAGCTTTAAATGGCAACAATAATGGTTATTATGAAAATAGGTGCTCCTTTCTGAGCACCTGAGGGCTTGTTTTGTGTTTTACATATAAAGTGCATCTCATTTGGGGGTACCTGTCTCCCCAGGTACCCTTCCTCTCTTACTTACTTGTCTATAATAAGCTTAGATTAGGGGAAGTGCTAATTTTCCAAGTTCCCTTACTTCTGGAATACCTAGGTGACCTGTTTCTAGCAAATTATATCAATGCCGAAATTTTCTGTTAGGCTTCCAGAAACATTTTATCTTCCTAATAAACAGAAAAATGCCACTGATGCTTTCCCTTTACTCCTACTTTCTCCCCCTTCCTCTGCCTTGAATGCAGATGTGATGCCTGGAGCTGCAGTAGCCATCTTGCAACCATAAGACAAAGGCCAAAAAAAAAAAAAAACTGTAGAGATATTTGAAATCATTGAGTCACAGAATCAGAAACAGCATTTGTCCATTATGACAATAATGGACATTATTTTTAATTGGGCACTCTGCTACTTGCAGGAAAACATAATCCTGATTGATACACCATTTATTCTTCACATCACACTGTTTAGTGAGTATTCATTAATTCTCTCTTTCACCAATTGTGTGTCTACTACCTGCCAAACTTCTGCTCTAGGCACTGGGGATGTCACCCAAAATCAGAGAAAGAAAGGCCCTGCTTTCCTGGAGTTGACATCCTAGTAGTGAATGGAAATAAACAATAGTCAAATTAATGCTATGATGAAAATAAATAGAATCTAGTCTCACATAGGTTTTTAAAAATATAAATTTATCCTATCCACATAAACTAGGAACCCTAAAGTGAGAATTAGCATAGTGATCCTAGATAAAGATCTGAGATGCCTGGCAAAATAAACTCGACCCATCTTAGGGGGACTTGCCCTCAACTCTGACTATACAAAATATCAACAAATAAAGCTCCTCCAAAGATGAACTCATAATCCAAAAAGACAAAACACACAGGGAAACCATCCACCATAAGTAAGAGTCAGCAGACACTATCCACAGCAGGATTAGACCGCTCTTTCCCCAAGAACTTCAGATGAAGGTGATTAAAAAATATTTTGAAAAGAATTAAAGGCATACAAGAAGGAATCAAAATCATACCAAAAAGGACACTACTTAAAAAGGCAGATTTGAAAAAGAACTCAATAGAGTTTATAGAAGTAAATATTACAATATTTATAAATTAAAGAGAAAACGGTGTACATTTATGGTAAGCCCAGAAGACAGAGGTAGGAGAGTGGGTACAGGACATAGGGAGGCAGGCTGAGACTCAGCAGGGGAAGGTGTTGCTTGGAATTCTTATAAGCAGAGGGCAGTCAGTGGAGTGCAAAAGCACAGTCTGGATGATCAGGGAGACTGGGGAAGGGGTTCCACTGGTTTGGAGGTGGGACCTGGGGCTCCTTCCACAGTTAGGCCAACTATGCAGGAAAAGGGGCACTATATAGGCAGCCAGGACACGCGGGCTCTAACCCAGTTCTACCAAACTTTCTTTGTGAGCTTGGGCCTCATCCTTTCCCTTTTAGGGCTAACGAGGCTCAAAATAGTTACCAAAGTGAGTTGCGAGGAATGTCACATTTCTTGTATTCTGGGACTTACAGCCTGAGATGCATTCCGACTGACACATGCAGGCACAATTTTCTGTGCAATTTCTCCTAGTTCAGTTGTCACTCTTCAGAACCAAAGAAACTCCTACCTGCCACATTCACACCTCTTCTGAACACAGGGGGCCAGAAATTATTCCTTCCAGGCAGGTCACCAGGCTATGTGTTGCATGGCCCTGAAATCATGAGACAATTGCCTGGGACAGAGATGGGTTCCCCTGTCCTACAGCTGCCCCCCAGCAGCGATCTACAGACTGGACAGGAGAGAGGTCCTGGCTTGTGGGTAACTGGTATTCGAGGAGCTGTGTTCTAGGTGGTGATCAAATGACCCAATCAGATCTGCTCTTGGAGACATTGAATTTGCCACAGAGAGGTTGTTGTCACAAGAATGCTGTGTAACAAACCTCACCAAAACTCCATGCTTTCCAACAACAATCACTTTTTCTTGCTCATGAGTTTGTGGGTTGGCTTGGGTGGTCTGCTTGGGGCTGTAAACCTGCAGGTCTGAGTCTGCTCTGCAAATCTCTTGTCCTCCTGCAATCATGAGGCTGCTGGGGCATGTTCTTCTCTCTGCAGTGACAAAGGATAAGAGAGCGAGTGGAACCAGGGGAGGCCTCTCAAGGCTTAGGCTCAGAATTGTCACAGTTGTTGCTTTTGCCACGTGCCATTGGGCAAAGTGAGTCACTTGACATACATAACCTCATTTCATCTTTAAAAACCTTATGATTTGGCTGGGCGTGGTGACTCACGCCTGTAACCCTAACACTCTGGGAGGCTGAGGTGGGAGGATCGCTTGAGCTTAGGAGTTCAAGACCAGCCTGAGCAAGAGTGAGACTCTGTCTCTATTAAAAGTAAAAAAATTAGCCAGGTGTGGTGGTGTGCCCTATAGTCCTAACTACTCTGGAGGCTGAGGCAGGAGGATCGCTTGAGCCCAGGAGTTGGAGGTTGCTGTGAGCTAGGCTGACGCCACAGCACTCTAGCCAGGGCAACAGAGTGAGACTCTGTCTCAAAAAAAACAAAACAACAACAACAAAACACCTTATGAATGCAATTCCCAAACTGTGTGCTGAGGCGCCTTGGTCACTGTAGAAAACTCACAGAGGCCCTGCAAAATATTTAAAATTTTGAGGGAAATACAATACAATGACATCTGTCGAATACTATGCCAACAACTATTATTAAGTTGTTTGAAGCTGACTACTTAATAAACAACTGTTAGGTATCCTCTTTGGACCTGGCACACTGTGAAAAAATTACTAAGATGCTAAGAGTGCTGTGAACTGAGAACGTTTGGGAACCTCTGCCTATGAGGTAGGCACCTACAATGTCTGCATTTCACAGATGATTTCAGGTAGATCCTATTACTAACAACATTTTTACAGATGAAGAAACCGAGGCTCAGGGAGGCATGGATTTTCCTAGGATTACTCCAGCAGGTAAGCAACAGAGCTGGAAGCAGAACCTGTTCTCCCCGATCTATGTCGGGAGGGTCTTGCCTATTGTCTTGAAACAGTGGCGGGCCAGGCAGGGGCTCACACTGCCCTCTGCCCTGCACAGTGGCAGTATCAAGAAGAGTGCTTGGCACTTAGAATCTGGTGCTCTGGCCTTGGCGTCTAGCGTGGACACCTAATTACCCTGGAAAGCCATTTCTTGTGGTTAACTTGTTTTGATGCACTTTCATTTATTTGTAATCTCACTCTCGGGATTCTGGCTCAGAGCACATTTTACTTGATAGACTCAGAAAGGCTTGGCACGTGGAGGTGAGGGGAGATGGAGCCTGGAAAGGGAAAGAACTTAAACCCTTGAGTGGGGAAAATGTCACCATCCAACATGAAAGCCAATATGGCCGTCCATTCACCATGCATGGGCAGCCAACAGTACGGGCTGCAGGAGCCAGACCCTGCTGTGATGCTGGGGACGGAGTGATGAGCAAGGAAGACCTCACACCTGCCCTCTCAGGGCTTAGGGCCCAGCAGGTAAGAGGCCCATTAGCAATCGATTAGTTCAAAAATCTTTCTTTATATCACTTGCCTCACACGCACACACACACCCCTCTGTGTGTTTATTATACAAATGAATGAATGAGCTTGCAAATGAAGAAACTGTGGCTCAGGTGGGGATGTGGGTGCCCAAGCAAATCAGCAGCTATGACAAAAATTGCAGGTTATCCTTTGATATCGCTTCTCCCTTTCACACATGGCAAAAGACTACATTTCCCAGAATCCCTTGCAGGTAAGTGTGCCGTGTGATTAAATCGCAGCCAATGGGATACAAATGGAGGTGATATGTTCAATCTCTAGGTCGTGCCCTTAAAAGGCAGAAAGAGGGTGCCTCCCTTTCCCCCAAGTCCTCCTTCTGCTGACTGCAATGTAGTGATAAGGGCTGAAGCTGGAGCAGCTATCTTGGACCACAAGGTAGGGGACGGCAGAGCAATGAGATAGAATAAACCAAGGTTTCTTTGATTGGTGAACCACCATGTCAGCCTCAACTGCCAAGAAGACTTTTACAGGGAGAGAAATAAATTTTGTTTTACTGAAGGCACGATTATTTTGAATCTTCATTATAGGAGTCAAATCAATATCCTAACAATATAGCAGCAGAGCTGGAGCAGAAGCCAAGTTCCCTAATTTCCCCATCCAGGCCCTTTCCATAATCCCCCACTTATGTATTTAAATGTCTTATTCTTTCCCAAGTGTTATCTTGTTCATGACCATATCTGCTCCTTCCATGGCAGATACAGGACTTCTGTGGCCCTCACTGGGGAGAAGGGAAACAAAGATATGAGAGTGGTAGGTGATCTGCCCTGAGACATGAGGGCAGAGTTATTCCTATCTCTCGATAGAGAAAGTAGGACTCAGAGATGTCATTTAGCGCTGTCCTTGTGCCCAGCTCCTAGTCCGGCACTCTTCCTACCCTTGGAGGCTGCCCTCTCCCCTATTCTGGGCACCTTAGCCCTCATCCACTTTGTAAAATACAAATGAGGTGGAAGTCTAGCAGAGAGAAGCCTTTGCATTGTGAGAGCATTCAAGCCCTCCCACCCTCACTTCCTGCCACGTAAGCACGTGCCATCATGATAACCAGAGGAGCATGGAGACAGAGCACCAGGTGGCTGGGGGCCATCATCACCTCTCCTTCTGCAGCTCCTTACCCCCTTCCAGCAGACTTTCCCTGTGGCCCAGATAAGAAAGGCGAGAACTCAATTATCTGTTCTCTGCCTATGCCCTGTATCTGTGTCCTTGTGGGTCCTGAACACGCAGACCCTGTACCCCTGTGTCCTGTAGCAAATGCTTCTGAACCCCATCCCTATCCCCTTGACATTCTCCTTCTCCATGTGTGCCTATGGCTTCCCAGTGCAAGCCCGCCTGAATCTGTGCATGCTCAACCTGTGCCCAGGACAGGCTGGAAGTGCTGGGAATAGCCCTCAACCGACAAACAGGTGCCTGTGGATAAACACCTCTGTGTCCTCTGCTCTCAGGTGGGACAATTCTCAACCTAGCAGGATTGAGCTCCCATTGCCAACAATAGCCACTTGCTCATTGATGCTTCTGCAGTGTATTGGCTGCTCTTCCTCCCCAGTCTTGCTTCCCCATCCCTCCACCCCTGCTTCCTGGGATGACCTTCCAAATACACCACTTGCACTCAAGTTCTTGTCCCAGGACTACTTCCAGAAGAAGTCAATCTACAGCATGTCTGCTATGGTTTGAAAGTGTCTTCTCCAAAATTCATGTTGATATTCGATCCCCAATGCAGCAGTATTAAGAGGTATGGCCTTTGGGAGGTGATTAAGTCATGAGGGGTCTGACCTTATCAATGGGATTTGTACCCATCTAAAGGGGCTCAAGGTTGAAGGGAGTGCTTTTTTGCTTTTCTGCCTTCTGCCATATAAGGACACAGCAACAAGGCACCATCCTAGAAGCAGAAAGAAGTCCTTACCAGATGCCAATGCTGGAGTCTTGATCTTAGACTTCCCAGCCTCCAGAACTCTAAGAAATATATTTCTGTTCTTTATAAGTTACCCAGTCTCAGGTATTTTGTTACAGTAGCATGAAGGGACAATGACAGTGTCTTATCCATATGTGCCCTGTGCACATGAGTCCTCTGCACCTCATTCTGCACACAGCTGAGCTGTACATGGGTATTCTAGCCCTTCTGCTTTGTGCATTCATGCCTTGTGTACCTGTGTCCTATACACACCTGTCCCATGCACATGTATCTAGGACACCATCCTGCACCTTCTGTTAGGGCTGAAGGGCAGCCCCCGCCCCTGGGGAGGTGGTGAAGACTCGGGCAAAGCAGAGTAGGACAATGGGAACAGCGTCCCTTGACCTCTGCTAGCCTTGGGTGTAACTCCGAGGCAAGAAGCCTGATTGGTATGAGCTCTAATTCCCTCTCCTGGTGAATGAGCTCCAGGTGACCAATTTGTCAGAGTGTAGAGGGGGCAGTGAGATAACACACACATACAGGGACTGCCACACTGGAGTTGCTCCACCAAGCGACCCCCATCAAAGTTCCTCCTTTCTTCCTGAGCCTAACTGCTCCCAAGGGAGCGGCTTGAAACCTAGATGACAGATGACAAGGCAAGCTGCCGGGGTGGCGGTTAGAGGGCACTTACTCCTGCAGAAGCTGGGAATGTGGGTCTTGATTTCCCTCCTCCTCCCTTCTCCTTTCTCTTTCCACCACAGGGAGAGAACACAATGCTCAGGTTTTTCATTCCCCAAGGCTGGGAGCTCCAGACAGACCAGGTGGAAGGGAGGGAATGCCAGCTGGGCTGCCTGAAGCTTTGCCAAACACATGTGGGGGTGTCTCTGGACACTCCTTTTAGGGTCTGGAGTGTGACCATCGATTAATTTCCTCAAATCCTTGAACCATGTCCCATAACCATGATATAAGGGCTGCTCCGTAGAGCATTAGAGCTCCAGGAAAACCGAATGAGCGGGCTGGTTCAATGGGGGAGGGGGGATATGAAATAAGTAAATAAACCCGAACACTCGAACTCAGCCAGATTCTGA